ATATTGCTTTCTTATAAACAGAAACTTAATACAAATTAAGATCACGTTGAGCATCAGAATTAGCGTTTGCCTACGCCTTGAAGTTCGCCCTCCTGGCAGTAAACATAAAAGGATTAGTGTTTTATTAATTAAAATGATTAAATGGAAATAAATATTTTTTTATTGACAATTTGTGACTGAGCTTGAAAAAGACTATATAATACATGAGATAATCATAATATTAAAATGTATCTGTAAGATTTGACAAACCCTGACAATTACGTCATAAGTGTCTCACCAACCACCCTCCACTTAAAAATAAAGATATGATTTTGAAGAAGAAAACGAGACAATTGTATATTTCTTTATATTTGACTTGTATTTCATTTAATATGTCTCTAATTCAGTTGGTTTATTATTACCATAAAATCAATTGGTTATGATTCCCTCGTATGACTTGCACGTCCTGATAAAAGTCCACGGCCGAAAGCCCTGGTTGCCCGACCCCAAGGCCGGCACTGAGGAGAGCAAGAGGAAACAAAAGACAGCAGCATTAGACAACAATCTACTCTGAAGGTTATGAAAAAAAAATTAAGAAGTAGAAAAAGTTATTAAAAGATAAATAACGAGAAAGAAAATTAATTAATTAATGAAAATTGGAAGCGGCGTTTGAAAACATTTATAACAAGGTTATGGTTATAAAATTTTATTAAAACACAACCAGGTGGGTTGTATTTTTATATGTTATATTTTTCCCACAACAATAGACATAGCGGACCCAGGAATTAATTTGGGAGGGGGGGCTTCAGCCCGAAAGTTTTTTTTTCATAAAAATAACGATAATTACTTTGGAAAAAAATAAATAAACTAACTGCCTACATGAAATGGTGTTTACGTGATTCCTGAAGTCCTTTTAAATGTGATTACATGAACAATAATACTTTAAGAGATAGTTTTTTAATATTTTTTTCCATAAAACAAATTTACATTTTACCATTTGTGGGGAGGGGGGCTTCAGCCCGAAAGCCCTCCCCGTAGATCCGCCCGTGACAATGGAGAATATTTGGACGTGCAGGAATATTTATTGCAACACGAGTCTCTAAACTTTTCGACCCCCGAGCCACATTGAGATCCCTCACTAAGTCCCGCGGGTCGTTTAGTATTTAGATCTTTAGCAAGTCTCGCAGGCCGTGGCTTGTGATAAAAAAAAAGGCTTATTCTACAAATGGCACTTCAGTTGTGAAATGAACTTCCTAAGAGAAACAACTCATGCAATGAATATTTCAGTAACTTCGGGTTTGAATGATTATTAAATTTCTTATTTTTAAATAGTTTTAAAATTTTACCATGTAATCAAAGAAAATATTGCTAGCCGGATCCAACCCGCGGGCTGTAGTTTGGAGACTCCTGAATTACAAGATTAGATGTGGAAATGATATTTTCTCTATTAAAACATATATGAGAAGGAGTTGATCGGTGGGTGCGGTCCAATAAATACTAAATTATACAACTAGTATTATTTAATTTTTGCCGACGTTTCGACCCACTTTGCAGGTCTTCACCAGGGCGTAGGATGTAGCACTGCGGGATACAGTTGAAATACTAATTATTGAATTGAGTGAAACACCGAGGCAACTGAAACACTGTTGAGTGTTTCAACTGCCTCCCGCAGTGCTACATCCTACGCCCTGATGAAGACCTGCGAAGTGGGTCGAAACGTCGGCAAAAATTAAATAATACTATTTGTATAATTTATTATTTATTGGACCGCACCCCCCGATCAACTCCTTCTCATATTATATCAAGGTCAACCATCTCTACATCATTAAAACATATAGTTGATCCGATGGAATTTAACTTTTTTTGTCAATGCTGGACACTATAAAGAACCTATTTTTTCTTTGATCCATATAACTACCAATTTTTCTTTAAACATGAGAATAGTGGATGGTCCATTATTGAGTATATATCTTTGTACTTTATCGAACACAGTCTTGTCAACAACGGGCTAAAAGTCTAAAATAAGGCTCCAATAGCTGACACTCATTAAATTGTGCAATTCCTTCAATAATATTGAGTAAAAGCAGAAAAACATAATCTAAAAACACTTAAAAAATAAAACAAAAAAATTGAGATAAATCAAAGTAGTTGAAAAGAAAAAGGCTGAAGTCCCCCAAAATGGTAAAATGTACCCGTTTTATGGAAAAATAGTTAAAAAATCTGGTGGGCGCAACACATAACTTTCACTTACTACTCTACTTTGAGTAGAAATTATTTTCTGGCCATGTTGGGTTATTATCAAATGTTTAACCGAGCTAAAGCTAAAAAATTACAGCTAACAAATCATAAATACTATTAAAATAACAAAATTCCTATTGCTTATGGATTGTGATGTTTAAAGTATTATTGTTAGTGTAATTACATTTAATAGGACTTCAAGAATCACTTAAACACCATATTATGTAGGTAGTTAGTATCTTTCTTTCTTTTTACAAAATAATTATCGTTATATAAATGAAAAAAAAAAAACTTTCGGGCTGAAGCCCCCCAAAATTAAATCCTGGATCCGCTAGTGCTTATGACAGATGTGGCAGAAGAAATCAAGTTAACAATAAATAAATAAGTAACTTAATTTTTTTTCAATTATGTATTTTTCTAAAACTTTTATTAAATAACAATGTTTGAAAAAATCAATTTTTGATCCTTTCACAATGAAACATAAAATAAGTCAAGAGCGCCAATACTTTTTTGATCCACTCTACATTTTTTTTGCGATAATAAATCTTCATAAAAGACGAAAAGGTAATCTCCATAAAATGACATCATCCCAATTCCATAGAATATGCTAACTGTTATCAATTGTTTATTCAACTTTAATTACTTTCAACAAAATCTAATGGTGGAACCTCAGATAATTTAGCCTTGATTTACTTAAAGAAATATGTATTCTACATGTGGGATATAACTTAGGTCGGAATACTAGCCTTAGGAACACGAACTCGGTAATTACTTTGTCACATTATCTTCTATCGGGGTTGTCAAGCAAAGCGCGGTTCTGTGCACACACGTTTGTCCGCTAGGCCATCACGCACCCCACATGTAATATATAGCAAAGGAAAGTATTGCGATCGTGAAAATTTTCTAATCCGAGTTTTCAACGGAAACATACTTTTTGAGGTTCCCTGAATTCTAATAACCAAGTCCACAAAATGGTGTATGTATGCTAACAGTCTGGCTCAAAAATGAAATGTCGTACGGAATTGAAAATATATATTTCAGTCAAGTCTATGCCTGGAACTTACTGTTACTTTTCTCTTAAAATCGGCTGACCGGAAGTGTAACTTTATATCATTTTCTCAACTTTACTTTTTTTCTACTTTGCAATTTTCTCAAAAACGGCACTGACGACTTTGATTAAACTCGATGTATCATTGTATAATTAAACGGTCTTTAATAAAATGAAGCTCTAATCCCCATTGTTGGCGCTTAACGGGGTTTAATTGTGCAATGTTCAAAATTTCTTCCCCTAAAGTACCTTTAATTTGGTTAGCAGTTATTAAAAAGACTGAATATAACCTCTGAAAGAGTTTCCAAAAAGAGAAAAAAGGGAAATATGTTTGATAAGGCTAAAAATGAATCACCGGATTTTTTTTGTTTATTATTTTCAATAGTGAACCATTGTGATCAACAAAAAAATTCAAAAACTTCTTTTTTTTCAAATTAATTATCGTTATATGTATATGAAAAAAAATCTTTTGGGCTGAAGCCCCTCCCCCCAAAAATTAAATCCTGGATCCGCTAGTGATTATGACTAGCACAGGCGGATCTACGGGAAAGGGGCTTTCGGGCTGAAGCCCCCCCAAAATGGTAAAATATAACCAAGTTTTATGGAAAAATATATTAAAAAATATCACTTAAACACCATTTCATATAGATATTTAGTATCTTTCTTTTTTTCCAAAGTAATTATCGTCATTTTTATCAAAAAAAAGCTTTCGGGCTGAAGCCCCCCCCCTCCAAAATTAAATTCTGGATCCGCTAGTGATGACTAGCGATATGGTCTTTAGTTTTTTTTTATATGTTCTACTGCAAAGGTTATATCCTTTGTTTAGATTTTTGAATTTTGAATGTGTTACTGAAGTAATGCTAGTTTTTTAGCATATTACTAATGATTAAAAAAAAAAGTTTAGTCCAATAATTGGAATCATCTTTTATTTATTTTTCTTTGTAACTAGGAAGGTAATGTTACTTTAGATGTATAATTATTTGGAAATAATAAACCATTGTGAAATAATTTGCAGCATTTTTTTTTTTATGTACGTAGTAAATTATATCTAACGGGAAATACAAATTATAAATCAAAACAGCCATCCATTATTGTTACTATTTAAAAAAAAAAGTAAGAACGAAGAAGTTTCAAAATGAAAGAGACAAAAATATATTTTTAAAAGAACATGAATAAAAAAGCATTGTACGTACCTAAACAGAAAAACCTCATTAAAGAGGTAATAACATGTATGTAACTCCACTCATCTTAGAACGACATTGCGAAACATTGCATAATTCTCTGTTATCAATCTTTTTTAAAAATCATTTGATTGGTTATTATATACGAAAACATATTTATTCGTATTATTGGGGAGTACCGCACTCATCAATTCTACCACTTGATGTTTGTTGCTATCGATATCATACGTCTCAGAAGGGAATCAGTTACTGATAATAGAATGACTAATCTTCAGTCGCGGGGTTGAAGCCGGCAGGAGGAGGCTAGCTGCTCTCCACTAAATTATATTTATTTTTTTTTTAAATTTATTAAGTGAATTATTTCAAATCTAGGTAATACCACGTACCAGACTGTGATATTGACGCTTTAATAAGTTAACTTGACAAAATAGTTAAAATTAAGTATGATAAACATCAGCTCTTAGTTGATAAATCAAGAGGATTAACAAGAAAAAAGAATTGGCTGTAATTTAAATATTGTTTGTCTCCTTGTTAACCAATAAAGAAAATAAATAATGGCATTTTGGTTACAATTGAGACTTATTTTATGGAAAAATTTTATTATTAGGAAAAGACAAAAAGTTAGTGTTCTCTCTATTACAACTTTGTAAATAAATAGATTTCATATTATGTTTTGATTTATTGATTAAATGTTTCTATTCAAATAGATAAGAGTTATCGTTGAATTAACCTGGCCTCTATTCTTGTTTCTTATATTAATGTGGGTTCGTACAAGAGGACTTCGTTCTAATGTCAGTGAATGTGAGTACCTTTTTATTTCAGTATATTATATGTGTGCATACTTTATATATCATTGCTTGTATTAACATTTTTAACTTTGGCACTTCTGTAAATACATCTAGACTTGGCCTTGAACTCATAGGCAATGTCAAGGTACCCTTATTTCATACAATTGACTATAGCTTTTATCATGCGATTAGTGTTGGCAATTCGGTGACATTAATAATGACAAGTTTGTTCTCGTGACCTTCAGAACATGTTATTTGTTTTTAATGTGGTTGTCATGAGAATATCTGGTCCACCATAGAAACCGATGTAGAATCATTGAAATTTTATCATGCAGAAAAATTATTGGTTGTAAATACAGGCTGTCAAGACCAATGAATTTTAATAGAAATACTGTCTTTTAAATAATATTTTATTATGCTTAAAAGGCGCTCTAATATAAATGAATTTATACATATATATATAGTTTATATATATATAGTTTTTATCTAGTCTCGTCATATATATAATATATATATTATATATATATATATATATATATATATATATATATATGATATATATATAGATATATATATATATATATATATATATATATATAGGTGATGATATATCTGTTACATTATGTTATCAAAAAAATTTGTACCTAGTTTTTTTTTTTTTACAATTATTGAATGTAATCATTTTCAAAACATGGAAAACGAGAAATAATTATTTATATATTTTATGGTACCACTGTACTGGTAGTGGGATTAGTGGGGAGAACTAGTGTGGTAAGTGGCCTTTTCGTGGTCCTTTTTGTCAACCCCTGACAGCTATTTTGAGATTGCCCCATGTACATACCAGAGTGAGAATGTCAAGATTCATTTCTCAGGGCCGCCAACAAATGAAAATTAACCGTTCCAGGTGAGAATTGAACCTACAGCATTCAGAACGGGCCGCTTGTGCTCAATATAGTCTGCTTGTGTATCCATGCTCGTAGTGGGCGGATTAGCATCTCTTAAGAGATCATAAAAGTGGCTCTTCCAGTATTTTATTTTTCTCGTTTAGGAGGGTACTGTCTGAATCTCTACAGGCGGCAATCTGGTGCTTGAAGTGTTTCCGGAGTACATTCACCAGATTATAGAATTTTCATACTTCATTTTGGCTTCGAAATTCCTCGATTTCTGGAGCTCTTGAGACTTCTGTATCCTTTTTTTCCTCCAGTGTAAGCGGTTTCTTGTCTTCTCAAGGCCTTATATGCGTCTTCTGAGCCCTTAATGTTTCTCTGTAGGGTCAGCTTGCAAGCTTCATTTTGAGGGCGGTTATAGCTTCCCATTCCTCATCAAACCATGGTTTCCTAAGGATGAGAGACTGGAGCCCAAAACCCCATCGGCAACGACTTTCACTGCTTCCTTACATTTTTCCCAATGGTCCTCAGTATCACCTTCCAGGGTCAAGGTTCGCAGTCCATGGAGTCAACAAAACGAATTTTACTTTCAGGGTCTTTGAGCTTCTCTATATTCCACTTGTGCTGAGGTACTCTTCTTTGGTTACTGACGGTAGAGATTCTGGCTTTGATTCGAGACATGACCAGATAGTGGTCTGAGTGAATGTTCGCTCCACAGTATGTTCTTACATCTCTTAGGCTTGCTATGTGTCTAGCGCTCATCAGGATATGATCTATCTGAATCGATGTAGTCCCGTCATTGGACCTCCATGTTGCTTATGTATCCTTTTATGTGGGAACATGGTGCTACTAACCACTAGTCCCCTTGAAGCAGCCAGGCCCACCATATACTGCTATTATCATTCGATACATCATTCAAACTGTTCATTCCAATTGTTGGTTTATAGGCAATTTCTCTCCCAACCTGGGCATTGAAGTCCCCAATCACGATTTTTATGTCTGATTGTGGGCTTTGGTCAATGCCTCCGCTCCAACACTGAGTAAAAATAGTCCTTGTCCTCATCTTCTGAAGGTTCCTTCGGTGCATGGGTGCTACATAGGCTGTAGTTGTAGAATTTAACTTTCATGCGCTGGTAGCAGATTCAGGGGTCGATTGGCTCAAAACCAATTATTAACCGGGAAGCTATTCTGCCAACCACGAAGCCAGTGCCAAACTGATGCAACCTTTCATGGCAGCTGTAGTATATAGTGTGGGCCATTCTTCTTTAGAATTGCAGTCCCCATCCACATTAACTCCTTTATTGCAGCAATGTCTACCCCGAAGTTGTCATGTTGGGTTAAGAGCAGGTGAAGTGCTCCAGGTCGATATAATGACAAAACGTTCTAAGTTCCAAGTCGAAAATAAGTTATACAGGCGTTAAGTCGTTTCCATGAGGTCAGTCCGGCTTCTTTCTTTTTAAGATTCGCAGTGTTGATTGTTTTCCGTGAATGGGTTACCAGCCCAACGCACAACCCGCAACCTGAAGGACCAGTCTTGCTGAAATTAATCCTTCTTCGAGCTGCAAGCAAGGCTCTCCTTTTGCTTCAGAGCCTGAGATGGTATTGCAACCCCTACTGACCTGAGACGGGCTTTCTTGTCACCCCATTCAGGCTACAGGAGGGTCCCTCTTCCCAGAGGAAAGAAGGGGAAGGGTTCTCTTTTAGTCGCCTCTTACGACATGCAGAGAATATGTCAGGAAAATTCTAGGCCACATCCCTGCGGGGCCAATTTCAAGTTCTTACAAAAGAATAAGTTGGCTTTAGCGATGGATTTAAAATTTTCTGAAAAAAATCTCTTATACCAATATTCTTTTGTTTTTTAAGTAAGAAGTGCTTTATTTTAATATACATCTAAATATTAAATTGTGGGTATCTAAACAAAATATGGATAAAATAAAATCAATTTTGTTGGAAGAAAAATATCACATTTATTGTAAAAAAAAAGATGAAACTAATACATGAATAGCAGAAAATCTTGAAATAAGGTATACCTCAATTTCCACTATTAAATTCAAAATAAAGTAAATCAAGGTTTTGATAGAAAATAGGAAAATATTTGACGAATAATTTAAAATTTTAACAAACAAGAAAATACATTAATAAAATAAATGATTATTATAAAACAGATTGATTTTATTAATTATTCCAAAAAATCTTGTTTTTTAAAATTTGAAACAGGATATAAATATTCTCAACTCTCAGAAGATTTTGTCTTTTATATGATATCTTATAACATTTTGTATCTGGGAAACATAATAATTTGATTATTTTATTATTGTTGTTTATTATTGCAGGTCATTTCACTGAAAAAGCTATGCCTTCAACAGGTTTCTTGCCATTTTTTCAAAGTTTTTTTTGTACTTTTAATAATACTTGCCATAATACTTACAATTCATCTTTACCTAAGTCAGGTGATTTAAAATCAGGGTAAGTTTAAAAATTAAGGAATATATGATTTATTTATTCCTTTAGGAGTTACTTAGCATTAATGTTCTGTTTTAGTTTTATGAAAATCATTGAAGAAGTTGATCATTTATTTAGGCAGTCACAAACAAAACAAATTGATTTTCACTCTGTAAGACCTCAGCTTCATAATTTTTCAAAAATTGTAGAAAACATAACCGAGCATTCAAAAAAAAATAATGGTCAGTATTCATTATAAACTTTCTTTATCTCTCTTTAAATATAGATATTATAGTCACCATTTTAAAATTTACACCTTAGAACCTGAATTTCTTTCTTAAGTGATTTTATTATAATTACCATTTAATTATTTAAAGGATTTAAGGGAGATGATTTAATGGTCCTTAATGAGGATATAAATTATATTAAATCTAAGAACAAGGATTCAATAAATTCATTACCACCAGACATAACCTTAAAAAAATCAAGTTCTGTAAGTATAAAAAAATATAAACAATATGTAATAATACTAAGTATTAAATGTTTAAAAATAGGATTAAGGAATAGTATCAAATGGGTCATCATTTTTGTCATGGGAGGAAATAAAAGGAATAATCCGTAGTTAGACAAATGATATTTTAACATCTATATGCCTTAGCCAAAAAAAAAAAAAAATTCTGCAGCGTAAAGAGCCAAATGTCCAATTATCTTAAAAATAAAATAAGAGAATATCTCAAAAACAATAGAAATAAATACTATAACATAAGAGACTTAGATAAGAAATTTTCTGATTACTTTCGCAAGATGAACTATACATAATTTAGCCATTCTAGTAATCGGTAGTTGGATGATTGATTAGTAGTGATGATTTGATATGAAATAGTTAATTTACTTGTAATTATTCTTTATCAATTGTCTCATATATCAGGTTACCGGGCAACGGTGGTGCTGTGCACATGGATTAGCCTGCTCGTCCACCCCTTCCCTTAATAAAAAGATACTATTTCCTTTCCCATATCTTTTTAGACATTTCTTGATTAATTTTTTCAGATTTATCAAAAACTGTTCCTAGGCATTTATAGTTAGTCGTCCACATTCTCTAGGACTTCTCCATTGTATATCAGTCTTACATCCGTACGTTTATCTCTAGTTACTATCATTATCTTGCTCTTGAGTCTCCTTTATAAACAAGTTATTTTTATTATTCTATCATGGCATGTTGTAATTTTCTGTGTGTCTGTCACGAGCACGATATCGTCTAAATATAGTAACATCTGTAGTTGAACTATCCTCTTTTTCGCTTACCATCTGGATTCCGAATCCTGTCCTCCTTCTGCAAATTTTGTATATTTCATCCATGAAGATTGAATGTAACAATGTACTCAAGCTATTCCTTGTTTTATCCCACATTCCAAAGCAAATATCTTATGATTAAAGTGAAAAACAAATGGGTATTCATGAGTTTTTAGTACATCATTAAATTAATTAATTTGATGAGAAACTGCCCCATTTTTGAGTATTTTGGTTCATAAAAAAAGTTGTAGTTCACGATTAAATGAATCCATTCATGAAATTTCAGATGGATGCTAATAATTTGATAAATAGGGATTTGTACTATTGGCTATAATTGCTGCCAAAAGATCTTTAGGAATCCCATCCTTTAAGTACTCTCCATATTTCATTTTGGGGTACAAGTAATTGTGAATATAGTTTCAATGATTTTGAGTGCAGTTTAAATTCTATTTAGAGATAAAGTCAGACACATCAGTAAGAATCATTTATTAATCTTAAAGTGTCTGTTTGCAGTTTTGAATTTCATTTCATATTAATGTTGTTGTTTTTTTAGATTAGTAATACTATTGAAAGACCTCCAGTGAAAAACTATACTTTCGTTGATAGACAGGATTTTAAACAAGCATTCAGCGAATTCGAAAAGAGCTTGGATGCTTTGGAATTTTATGGAGAAGTACTCGAGTAAGTTTCAGCAGTCTTATGTTTACCTATGTTTGTTACCTGATCATATTAAGACTTGGTGATTCATGAAAAATAAAAAGTGACAATATGTCTCATTTTAAATGTTATTTTTGGTTTATAATGAGAGAGTTTTTTCAAATGTTAAAAATGCAATGAAATTCGTTATTTCAAAGCTAAAAAATAATTTTCAAATCATTATTAAATTGAATTTCTTGTTTAATTTATAGAAATGCTTGGAATGCATCTACTATGTTCAAAAGTTTAGATGTGGTAGAAATTCAAAATATAACTGGTGTAGAAAAAATTTTAGTATTATTGTATGACACACTTTGTGGAAGAGAAGTGAATGAAGCTCTTGAAGAAATCCAAAAGATAGGAGGTTCTACAAACAGGTTAGAGTATTTATTTATTGATTTATATTTTCGATATATTGTTAAACCTTTTCTGATGGATACCTATGGAAAACAGACACTCTTCTTTGTGAACAATTTTTAAATGTCCCCATCTGCTTTAGGAATTTTGCCTCCCTTTGCTATGGGCACTCTACTAACTGATACAAACATCTATATATTTTGGTTACTGAGAGGCAGCATATTAACCCCTCTTTATGGACACTTACAAAATGTGAAAATTAAGAAGACCATATTTAATAATTTTTATTTCAGATAGAAACATGCATATTGTTTAAACTATACTAGCTGTGTAAATATGAAACAAGAATTTGTCCATAGATTGCTCTAGTTGTTAATGTATTGGGTTGGCAAATTAGTCCTTTCGGTTTTTTAGAGTGAAATAAAACTCAATGTTATTAGAGACATAAAATTTATTTTAATCTATAATATATTAACCATTATTTAATATGACTTTTTCCCATCTTTCCACTAACTGCATAATTCCATGTTCATAGAATGTCTGGAGTTTATTGTTTAAAAACTGATCCAAGTAGTTTTTGATGTCCTCTTCCTTTTGGGATTTGTTTCCATTCATGGAGTACTGCAGAGACTGGAATAAGTGGTAGTCACTTGGAGCTAGGTCTGAAGAATAGGGAGGGTGGGGCAAAAGGTTCCATCCAAGGCTCAATAATTTATTGCGAGTGACCAATGAGGTGTGGGGCCTAGTATTGTCTGGGTGGAACGCAATACCCTTCCGATTTGTCAGTTCTGTGCATTTATTTTTAGTTGATTGATCCAATTTTGTTAATTGTGAACACTATAGAGTTGAATCAATTGTTTGCTCTGATGGCAGTAGCTCATACAAAATAACATCCTTGAAACCCCACCATATGAAAAGCATTATCTTCTTTGGATGCAATCTGGAGTTTGACATTCTTCTAGGAGCCTCACTACTAGGTCCCCAAAATTTTCTGTGGACTACGTTATCGTAAAATATCCATTTTTCATCTCCTGTTACCAACCTTTTCAAAATGGGTTGTTTTGTTTCCGTTTCCGTAGTGAATCACAAACAGAAATGCGTATTGTTTAGTTGACTTCGGTTAGCGGGTGAGGGGCCCAGACATTAAGCCTGGAAACAAAGCTGTGCTTCTGCAAACAGTTTTCTACGCTTGTGTGCGACACATTTAGAGCCGTAGCAATCTCTCGCACTGATTGGGTGGGATTTTGATCAACAATGGTCTTAATATTGCTCATTTCATTTCATGTGGGTGACTGTTGAGCATCATTGATATCAAAATTTTCTAAATGCAGGTGCATTCGGTTAAGGCATCATCCCTATTAACACTGCAAATTTTTATATGAGCTTCTGCAGCAGGCTTACTTTTTTAAAACAATACAACAAAATATGCTGATAATGAATGATATTTTCTTCCATTTTCACAATGCAATAGCAAACACAATACTAAGCTGGTTTCAAGAACAGTTAACAGATATAGTTGTTGACATTAATATGTCAAACAGGATAAAAAATCCACTTCAGGTATTAATTCATCAGATAAGAAGTGTATTATAGTGACATAAAAATAAACAGAAAAACCGAAAGGACTTATTTGCCAACCAAATAGTTCCCATTAAACCCATTTAAAATCCCATGGTGCCCATTTAAAGCCACCGTTTTTTTTTTTTACTGTTGGCAAAGATCTTTGTCTTACAACTATACAAGTTTTATGTTAGAGCATCATTTTAATATGTGTTTAACAGGTTAGAATTTCTCCATGGCAAATATTAGAGAAATTTTTAGAAGTACAACAGTGTTGTTCATCAGCTTTATACCAATTCCAAAAAAGCTCATGATTTCATTGACCACTGAAAGCTGTACAATATTTTATTAAAGCAGGGAATTAAAAAGAAAAAAAATAGTAAATCAAATAAGGATGTGCATGTCAGAAACATTCAGTAAAGTTAGAATCAATAATTATTTATCCAAAATGTTTGAGCTTAGTTGAAGTTTAATACAAGATGATTCACTTTCATTTGTCCTGTTTAATTTAGCATTAGATCATTTCATCACAGAGTTGATGCATACAGAAAAATGTTTGAATTTGGGGGAACAATATCCAGGCTTGGTTATGTTGATGATTTGGTACTGTGTAATGAATATTCAGAAGCTATAAAACTAAGTATAACAATGCTGATGAAAGATGGTAAAGAACTAGGGCTTGAAATAAATTTAGACAAAACAAAATATATGGTTAGCTGCAAGAGACTGCAAACATTTCGATGGTATAGATATAGAAGGGAATACGTTTGAATACATAGATAAGTTTAGGTATTTAGGGTCTATGATAACTAGAAAAAATTAAACTGAAGAGTAGATTAAGGTTAGGTTGAAGGAGTGAAATGCTTGTGCTTACTTTTCTGTAGCCAAACTACTTACAATGGTGTGAAAAAGTCTTTGAACAAATCAAATTTTTATAAAATTGATAAATTTTTCTTATATTATTGATAAATTTATAAAATTGATAAAGTGTTCTTATCTTCTGAATTATAAACTAATTAAACCATGCAAACATTGTAATAAATTAGTGTTATTTTCAATTAACAACAAGCCATGAGACCAAGCCGTTCTGTTGACTTTTTTTTATCTTCTGAATAATGCTATCATATTGTTCATATTTCACTACTTTGTTATCTATTTCAGACTTTACTTTTTATTGTTACCATCAAGAGCCATTGTAGAAACTGTTGAAGACTCTACCAAGTGTATCTGCAAAAATTGTTCTGATATTGTAATCCTTCATATTTTTTTTTTCATTAGTTTAATTTAACATACCATATTTCAAAATGTCTTCTTTTTTTCTATTTAGTGTTACTTTTATTTAAGAAAATGGATGGCAATGCATCATATTTTTGACTAACACAAAATTATAATTTTGTATCAAAAAGACCTTACAATTAGGGAAGCTCAAAAAGAAGTTAGAAGTTCTATTTCTGAAATTTATTATGTCATCAAAAAGTTTTTAAAAAACAAGAAAATTGAAGACTTGAAACGTTTAGGCAGATCTAAAAAACATAGTCCTGTTACTGAACAACATTTAAAATCATTGTGTTTGCACAATCACTAAAAAAAATAGCAGAGAACTACAAAGAATCAAGTTTAATCTTCCTTGATCAGAAGGAAATTCTTATCATTTGGCCTCAATGATTGTGTTGCCAGAGGAAAATCATTTTTAATCTCTGAACAAGCAAAAGCGACTAAAGTTTGCTAAAAAATATGAAAATTGGATGAAAGAAGAATGAAATAAATTTTTAATGAGAAATGAGCAAAATTTTAAATGTTTGGTTTCAGAAGAACCAACAGTCGGGAAAACTCCGCAAGTCAGTTGGTGATAGAGATATTAGAGATTTGGAGTGGAATTTTTGGGTGAATGTTTGCTATCAACAGTAAAACGTGGAGGTGACTTCTCAATTTCGGGTGTGTTTCTAGATCTGGAGTTGGAGACCTTTTGTGAATAGATGGAAAACTGAATTGAAAATGGTAATATAGCATCCTTACATTCCATCTAGGCTTTAGGTGATTGAGCAAAACTTTATTTTTCAGCAAGATGATAATAACAAATATGATATTTTTCCATTTTCTGGCATAAAAGTAACATTAAATAGAAAAAAAGAAAAGAAATTTTGAAAGATGTGACATTTTTTTAACTACTTCCTATCTTGTCAATCCTGACCGACGGGGAGGAGGTTGCTATTTCCAGAGGTATAACCCAATCTAATATAAGAAGAGTATGAAGGTTGAGGTTTTCTATGAGAGAGAGAATCACTTTATTATCATAAAATGGTGCTGCCCAATTACACTGGGTTGCTAAAAACACAGCATACTTATTAATCACTACAGAAAATTTTTAAAATAATATATAATTATATAGGATTAACAATATGTATGAGCATAGTATACAATATTTTTATTTCTATATTTTTTTAAATTCTCTATTAAATAAATAAATACATAAATTAAAACTCCCAGCCAAGCCATGCAGGTGGCGGTGAATGATTCCCAGAGAGTTGAGGAATATATTTTCAGCCAATCTCCCTACGTCCTTAATGTCGACACCTAGTTCCTCGAGGAAGCTCCCTGTTCTTTTTGGAATTGTTCAGCGAGACCAGAGGCCTCTCACAGTGAACTCTCTCTCTCTCCGAAGGTCTCATGGAATTTCTCTTTTAGGAAAGGGATGCATTTATCGTACGTGTTCTTCTTTTCCCTTTCCACTTCACCCACCTGATCGAGGTCATTGCTCTCAAAGTGGACAGTTGGATCCAAGATCAGCGCTGTCCTTCCTGTCTTGGGAAATGCTACGATATCTGCGTATCTCGTACAACCTTCACTTTCGATGCAATATACCTCGTCAAAGCAGGTGAATTTCCTTTCCCTAAGGAGCCTCATCAACTCGAACTTGACCTCGTGGTGACGTGTTATGAGGAGGGAGTTGTTGGGCCATTTTCCCAGCACATGGGCTGGTGTTTCAGAGTTTGCCGCATTTACGGCAGATGGACCCAACTTCTCTGTCCTGTCCGCTGACACCTGGGACTTCACGCAGGGGTGCATAATTAATGTTTCGTTTAAGGGCATTCGACCATTCAGACCCAGAAAGTACTTGTTTTTCGTAGATGTATCTGTTCGCTTTCGGGGTCTCTTTAAAATGGCGAACACCAATAACCTGCCACCTGCAGTTGGCCCATTCCTCAAATGCATTTTCTCGTAGTGACTGCCGCAGAGCTTTCACATTTCGATGATCCTGATCAACCCCCAATCTCTCGGCACATTCAGCAACTTCTGCCGAATAATTGAAGGTAGATTGAAAAATGGCATCTGGTACATTGGACAGTTGCTGAGCAATGGACCAATGTTGAAGAGGAGCCTCCCATTGGCAGAGGAATTAATCCCAATCCTCGGTATTTCCTAGGGGCATATATCATCGCTGTGAAAGTATTCGCAGGGAGTCCAATAATGGCCTTTACGCTCCTACGAATCATAGTGTCGATGCCCTCCAGTATGGCAGGACGCAGTTTTGTGAGAGGCACTGTTTGGAGAGAGTAAATAAGACCCGGGAATAGATATTGATTGACAATGTTGAGTTTCTGCTCAGGTTTAAGTAAGCAAGAGGTTACCAGCTTGTTTAGATTATCATTGAATTGTAGCTTTCCCGAGAATGTACATCCTAAATACTTAATCGTATCTCCATTCTTCAATGTTTGGATGTACTCTACATTCTCAAGGGAGAGCACAGTAGTTTCCAGCTCTCCTTTATTTAGAATGATGCCCATGCTTTTTTGAGGATTTATAGCCAAACCAATTTCTTTAAATGTCCTCTGTATGCTGTCAATCACTCTTTCTGCAGCCCCCTTGTCTTGCGCCGATACAGCCTGGTCATTTCTTGGAAAAGCCCTCATCACACAGGTCGGGGTAAAGATGGTCGATGGCCAGGTTGAAGAGTGAAGACGACAGGAGGCCTCCTTGGGGTACACTGTGCAGCACTTTGATCTGGCTAGTTGCATGGACACTGTTACTAATCTTTATAGTGTTTGTGCTAAGAAGAGCTGATATGACATTTTTAAGATTCGGTGACACACCTCTCGCTTCTAAGGAGCTTACGCTGTGTTTGTGGCCAACATTGTCAAAAGCATCGACAACATCGAGGGAAACAATCGCATAATCATTTTTCATTTAATTTCAACCAACCCAGCCAGTTTGATCCAGCGTCGCTGGACTATATTTTTAATTAAAAAAAAATATGAAAAAGAAGTCACTAGTTATTAAAAAAAGAATCCATAAAAGGTTAATATGCACTTTGCCAAATGTCTGAGGGGTAGAGCAAAGCAAAGGTGGGAAGATTCCATTAAGGTTCATCTGGCAGGGTTGGGTTTGGATGGCAGCGAGTGGAAAGAAGTATGTAGACAGCGATTGGTGGTATGGGTATCGAACCTTCGGGTTCCCAAAGCCTTAAGTCTCTTATTTTAAACTGAACATTTTAACATTGTAATATTTATTTTTCTGATTGTAGATTTGATCAGCTACAAGATCAATTTCGTGACAGAACAAAAATAAAATATACATATGATAATGACACTACTCCTATGTGTAATAAAATATTTCAGAAGATTGAAGAATATCCTCCTTTATCTATTCTGTGGCGAATCCTGAAACCATTTCTAGTGTAAGTTTTAACATTAAATTAATTTTGTAATATTTGGTTGTATCTCATGAAATGTATATTTTTCTGAGATTTACTTTAAAAACATAAATGGCTGTAATAAAAAGTTTATTGTATATATTTAAAAAAATTAAAAAATGGGGTGTAACTTTCTATTAAATTTTTAGAAATAATATCGGATATTATTGAACATACCTCAATAACCATTACATAAATATCAATTTAGAATAGAATACGTAAAGAAAAAAATTATTCATAAACAATTTAATTAAAATTTATCATTGAAAAAAAAACTTTAAAAAACAAACCAAATGTGGTTGTGGTTTCACACTGACTCTAATCTGATAATCAAATTGGCTACCCATTAACTTAATTGTCCCTTATTTCTTCTTTATAAAAAAAAAACTTCCCGTCATTTTATGTGATGATAAATGAATAGATAAATCTTTTGAACCAATGATCATGGAACATCCTTGTTTCCATCATAATATTTTTTAATATGTATGGAATTATAATAATAATCAATCCCGCATTCATGGTATTCATAATGTTTTATGAATAAAAATTCGTAAGCTTTAGGTGGTTTTACATGGCCAATCATTTATGATATAGGAGAATTGGCTTATGCCTATATTTCCAAGTTAAAACTCTGTCCTAATTACTAATTATCAAATTGTCATAGTATGCTCTTTCATTTTATATATGCCACTCCTAAAATTGACTGATGTGATTCAACCAGATAATATATTGTCAGAAATACTTATTCTTATCTACTTAAGTTGTCTCTTAAGTTTTGTTTTATGTAGAAAATGCTTAATAAAATTTTTATTGTAGTGGAAAAGTTCTGTATACGCCTGTTACTGAAGCAACTGCAAAAGTCATGGAACGTGTCAATGCATCATTTTATCCATTTTTCGTTTTACATTCGTTTGCAACAAACTTGCCCTCAGAATATATTAAATCTGCACAGCAGATGAACTCTTTTACACCAACTGATGATCTGAGAAATATAAAGGTCTCTGTTATGTTAAGTTAAATTTACATTCTGTATTATTTTATATGAGTGAGTTGATTTGCCATGTTATTGATAGTAAAAATATCTGTTTCATTTACTTGAACAGGAGTTCCTAGATTCAGAATATGGTAAGGAGTTGATTTATAAAAGCTTAGAAAATGATTTAAGCCACAACAAAACGTTTGAAAGGAGCCGAATGATAATTAACAGGTAATATAAAGTTATTTTGCATATATAAAAATTGGTATGTTTTATTGACGATTTGTTTCAATTTTTTCCCTTAGGCTATTAGAGGGTACAAAAAACTTGCCAGAAGATTCAGCAGAGCTATTTGAAGACTCTTCAATATTCATTGAATTTCTTAAGGTTTGTGTAATGTAATATAATAAAACTTAATTTGTCAAAATAGGCCTTATAGTCAAGTCACTTTTTCAAAATTAAAATTTATATGATTGAAGAGTTGATAAAAGTTTGAATTTACTCATATATTCCTTTCTGCATGCATCCATCTCTTCAGCATATTTGTTGATTCGATATATCAATCTGGTTTTGGCCTTTCCCACGGTCTATTGAGGCCTTCATTGTTGTGTAGAGATTTTTGGTGCTGAGGTCTCTTCTCCACTGGAAGCAATAACATGATATAAATCTATGAAGCTACAATAAGCTATATCTAACAGCGTTGGGCTACAACACATTTCTTTGTTGGTAAAACTTTTAATTTTATTTTACAACAAGCAAAATTTGGCTTCAATGTTGATTTGAAAGAATGAACTTAAATTTATGTATCCAAAGATTTTATAATTCATTGTAATGAATTATAATGTACTTTCCATTTTCACACAATGTTGTTCTTATTATCTTCTTACCATATGTTATCATTAATTTATTTATTTTTCCTGTACATTTTTGCTCAATATCTTGTAAACTGTACAGATTTCAAATATACAATAAGAGTATTCATGCAACCAGTGCTAAGTGTTGTTAACCTCCTAAATGTTTAAAGTTGAGAAAATTATTTACAAAATGTGTGTTAAATGTGGTCACTAGCACTCTCGATTTTAACGCAGCTTAGGGTCTTGTTAAGTGTTGCCAACTTCGTAAACACACGACAAAATTTTCATAAGGTTTGCATGTGATTGTTTGTTTACAATATCCAAAGAAATTTAATTTAAAGACAGCTAGCATTCCATCTATGTATTCATCAAGTTCTTGTCTTCTTAATAATCTGAATCTTCATCATGCTTTCAAGTAAAGCATTTATTACCAAATGATGCAGCTACTCAGTCTTTTCACTTCGTTTTGTCATTTTAAAAATAAATTAAAACGTGAGTAGATCAATTAAAAACTGATAAACCTTGTTTATAGTACAGGCACAACTTTACTATAACTAATAAAACTTTAGGTAGGTAGCACAGACAGGTTATTCATTCAAAATTTGTGTTGACTGCTTAGCATGATTGCACATTAAGCATTTACAACAAGTGCATGAAACCCCTAATTCTTTTAATTTTACACAATTATATATTTCATGAAGGAATTAAAAGAAAATAAATATTTAAAATATGAATTGTATACAAGACAGATTTTTTCTGTTCTTCATTCTGCAAAAATAAATTGGAAAAGTAAATTAATTGTTACTTAATGACTTTTATCATTTGATGTAAAATACTTTTTAAAATAAAAACTGAATTTATATTTAAAAACAATATTGGAGCCAAATGTTGCTTGCTGAAGCTTATATAATTAAAGCTATGTTACTTGTTTTACTGGTGAGGCTATTGCCTCAATATAAACATATTTGTTGTAATCCAATGCTGTTAGATTTAGCTTATTGTAGAATGTTGTTGCTTATAATGGAGAAGAGACCTCACCTACCTAAGCAACTCCTCATCTACCTGAGCTAGATGAAGTTTAGTAATTGATAGAAAATTTGTGTTAAAAAATTTCTCATTAAAATTATTTTATTTTTTAATAATTAAAAATTAATAAATTAATAAAAATAAATTAATAAATAATTAAAATTATTTAATTTTAATTATTTATATATCTGTCTGCTTTATGTCAGACATATGTATATATTTTTTTCATGGGATATATTTGTGATACTATTTGTTTTTCATTGCGGGTTAATATAGTTAAATTATTGGAATTGATATCTTATGAATTGAATTATAATTGAATGTAATTTGTTGTTGATAAAGGAATTTTCTCGTTTTTATTAGTATATTTTTTTTTTTATTTGGTTTAGTGTATAGAGATTAATAAAGTGGAAGGTATCGATGATCGGTATGAAGCTGAAATGAAGGGAATGCAGTTGGTAAATTTTAATAAGCTCTGGGCACTTATCGAATTTGAATCCCCAGGAGATGAGCAACTAAATCCTTTGATAACATACAAGATTAGGTATGGTATAAATATTTTATACACATTACTTATATTGTTAGATAAATGTTTATTAATTAAATATGTAAATAATTAATTAAGGGGGAAAACCGAGCTGTCGAGCGTGATATTGGTCCGCTATCTCCCTGCACAACCGTTGGCCTTGTAACAGTACTTCCTCACATTGTACTGAACTCAAGACCCTTCATGGGTTGTTAGTGATACAGGAAAAAAAAAAAAAAAAAAGGAATTAGCTAGAATTAAATTATTATTAGTAATTATTTATTTTTTATGGCGTTGGGAAGTGTCGGCTCCATCGCCTAGCCATTGTGCCGCAGATAGCCACTGGCTCTGCAGGTTGGAGCACAGTGCACTACACTCACCCTAACACTACAGACCAAGATCACACAGTACACACCCCAGGATCACCTTCCATAGGTAGCCGCTCCGGATGGGGTGTAAGTGAAGTGGCAGCCCCTTCATCTGACTTGGGGGCAGTGGGCTATTAACCCATTCTCCTTAAATTTCACTTATCACAATTATGTCGTCACCATTGGCTCCATTGGCCATGCAATTATTTTTCATTATTTTATTATTTTTCATGCAATAATTGATTTAAATTGATCATTTGTTGTGCATAGCAGTATTAATTGTCGGTAGTCAGTATTAATTGTTTTGCCAGAGTTTAACAACTCATTGTAGATCAAACCCTTTTGATTTCTTGCAATCGAAGTTGTTGGTTTTCCTGGAGTTATCGATGATCTTTGACTATTAAGGTTCTCTAATTATATGTGCTTTTCATCTTCTGTCACTATTTGATGGATAAATGACTTTTTTTTTATTCTGGGGAAGAATCATTTCGGAGGTTTTTTTTTTTTTTTTCGGTTTTCTTGTTGTACTTATTCTTGTGTTGCCATACAGCAAATTACTAATCAATAGAGTATTATATATAGATCCTTCCATGAAAATTAAAATTATTTTTTAAATACATTTCTATTTATCTATTGACTAAGGAAGATGGAAATCTTTAATAGGAATATTAAAATATTCCCTGAAGTTTTACATATTAAAATACCATGTCATTTATTTTTCATTCATGTACATTTATGAATTTCAAGATTTGTTTCTAAAAACTTTGATCATTTTATAATATGCAATAAAATTTTAGAATGAATGTAGAAAGAGTTGACAATACTGAATACATTAAGGACCTGTATTTGAGCCCAGGATCAAGAAGGCGGCCTGCAATAGACCTTAAGTATATTACATATGGATTTGCTTACATTCAAGATATGATAGATCATTCTATAATAACTGAGCAAACTGGAAGAAATGACTTGCCTGGCGTTTTATTGCAGCAGTTTCCATATCCTTGTTATATAGATGATGAGTAAGTATGCTGTTTTCAGTTTTTGAATGAAATGGTTATATTACTATTTATATATTTTGAATTTTGTAGATTCATTATGGCTATATCAAGAACATTTCCACTTTTTATGGTGCTGTCATGGGTTTACACTTGTGCTATGATAGTAAAATCTATAGTTCATGAAAAGGAGCAAAGGTTAAAAGAAACTATGCGTGTAATGGGTTTAGGTATGTTGTATCTTTTCCTCAAGTAATCCCATTTAATTTTAACTGTGCAATTAGATTAATACACAAATTGACTGTCAACTTATTCAATAGATTTGTGGACTAAGTCTATATATATATATATATATATATATATATATATATATATATATATATATATATATATATATATATATATATGTATATATATATTTTTTTTTTTTTATTTAACACATCTAACATAAAACATGAATACCGATGAGACTTTATGGATACGTTAAGCCATGACAGATTTTGGGAAACTCAAAATTTTGAGATTAATTATCTCATAAGTAGTAGCAAGGTTAAAAATATTTTAAAATGATTGATCTTGGTTTTAGAAACAAGAATCTACTGGCAGCCAAAAAAAAAAACTTAATTTTATCATCATTTTATGCTGTCCGATTTAGCTTTTGGTTATAGAAGTTTTGATGTAGAAAATATAAAATCATTTATTTAATTTAATTAATTGGAAATTGGAAATAACAGATTTCTCTTTTTCCAGTTTTTTATGCATATATAGTGCGTGAGGATCTGATAAACTACTTTGAGGAATTATGTGAAATAAATTGGATTATTGCAATAATGAAGCTTTATTAATGTTATTCTTACTTAAAGTTTTCTGTTTCATTAATCTCTACAAACCGTAGATTCGAAAACTAAATCATTCTTATGGAAATGTAGTTGTGAAAAATCAGCTATTTAAACATTTGTAATGACTCATATTTACTTTTTTAACAGTGGCTGGAAACATCCATGAAGATGCATAATAATTTATTTTGTAGATATCTATTTCCAAAACAACTGACAGAAGTTGTTTTACATCGGATTTCTAAAAAAACCAATTTGATAAAAAAGACTAAAATAGCCTTGGAGCCAGAGCCCAAAGATCGTTCTGATTGCAAGCGAAGGTGTGAATGTAAATTACAAAAGCATATTTTATTCTAAGTAAAATGAACCTTGTTTACTATTCCAGAGGCACTTCTTTCAAAAATAGCGGCTGGTTTTAAGAATATTAGGCTAGTAACTTGACAATCAAAACGAGAAATATATTTCGAAAAATTTGAGAAAAGTTGTTATTTTTTCAACTTGTTTATATGGGTTCAAACATGTAAAACCAAAATTCCTAACATGAGCATCCAAGTTAAAACATTTTATAGGCAAAAAAGCTATATATTTTTTTACATATAAATCCTGGATGATGCATTGAAAATATAAAATATATTCTTTAAGAAATTAAAAAACGTTAAATTGTGTGTCGAACGAGTACTTAAACATAATAATTTAGTTAAGTGGTATGGTAGAAAATCACAGTCAACGAAAGTGATTGATTGATTTTTACCAAATTTCTCAAATTTGTTTTGCCATTGTGTTTGTTTCTTATTTTACATTCAAACCTTCGTCTGCAATCAGGTCAATTTTTGTGCCCTGGCTTCAGGGCTAAAAGGAATTGAAACTGCAGATGAAGGTTTTAGTGATGGCAATGAGTACAACCAACATGGACATATACATTAAATAATTCTCAAATAAATTTGTAATACACCAAGTATGAACATTTTTGTGTTAGCTACGTGCTGCGAATGTCTCCAATAAAATTGATTTTGAAATTGTTCCATTGGGAAGCACATGAAAATTCAGTATGGCTTAATGGATTCTTGTTTCTTATTTCATTACCTATAATCATTACCTGTTGTAATTTTTATTATATATATATAATAAATTACAACAAATATAATAAATTACAATAAATAAGTTGTAATTAATAAAATATATATATACTATTATAATACTTTCAACCTCGTTTCTAATAAATTAATTTTTCTTAGTTTTAGCAATGAAATAGGGGCATTATCCCAAGAAATTTGTCTGATGAAGCATTTTTGTTTTTGTTATAATTGTCGGTGCCATTGTGGTAAAATCATGATTGCTTATAATGAGGTAAATTTGAAAAAAAAAAGGAAATTTAAAGTGTCCTATTTTCTGCGATGTCAAAAGCCCTTACTGCGCCTCATTGGCAGTCAGGGTTCGGTTAGGATATTATTAATAATAATATATTATAGCATTTTTAAGTTTTATCATGTTGAAGGTCCATTTGTTATTATCATTGTAAAATGGTGTAGAAAGAATGACTAAAAGTACTTTATATTACTTCTCCACTGTTTATTTGTAGAATATTTCAGGTTGGCCATCCTTTTTTTAAACCATTTAGCTATAAAACGTATAAATTACATCTTATACTATTAGTTTTCCATCTTATTATTCTTATCATAATATATGTAACAACATTTATAATACTATAGTTTGTTACCTGTTTTTATTATTTTGTATTTTTCTTCTTGTTTTTATATTAACACTTGATGCATTATATTTAAAATCCATAATCATCATTAAATCTGAGTTTTAGTTTTTCTTTTGACAAAAATTGTCATGATGTGTAGGGTTAGTTTATTATGATAAATATTTTATTTTTCCTACAATTACAATAGTTATTTTAATAAATATGTATTAAGAATTGTTAGTTTACTGACTCACAACAATAACAAATATATCACATTAATACTTTTATTTTAGTTTCATATTGATTCATTTGTATCCAAGATAAAACTGGCCTATGTTCCCTAAACTCTACCTTCTATCCTGCATATTTGTTATTCTTTTGATCTATTTATTTACTATTTCCTTTTTTCTTCATTTTACCACTATTATTTATATTTATATTTTATTAATAAATCTGTATAAGAGCAGACAATCTGTACTGATTCTGTGTTGAAATTTACTGCATATACACTCCTTAGAAAAAAAAAAAAAAGAAAAAAAAAGACAAATGATTACAGTAAACAAATAAAACCAAAAACTTTTCAGCAGATTTATTTATAGTCTCAATTTAAATATTTGCAAACTCAGTAAAATTAAAATATTCAACCGTGATTATTAAAAAATAAAACAAAAGAATAATTTTAACTCACAATCAAAGTGATATTCCTCACTTCTTATTAACCTTTAAATACTATTAATTCAGTCCAATAATGTGTAGACAAGCCATTCATTATTTTCTATTTTCTACCACTTTTTTCAGCCTGTAATGAAGTCGACCAAATTTTTTTGTGAATTCTAGGCTTAGCCTGTTCCACTCTTTGAGGAGATATTTTTTTTAATTCTTCACTATAAATTTCATGCTTTCTAATTTTACCTAACATATTACTAGGATATTTATTTATTACAGTAAATTATTCTTTTCAATGTAGTATAAATATATATATTTTTTCTCATGGCCCTACAACCCGGTTTCAGGTCTTGGCCTCCTCCAACCGTTTTCTCCAATCGTCACGGTCTTGTGCCAACGCCATCCAGTTCCTAACTCCCAACATACCGCGGGCGTCTCCCGCCACACCATCTGACCATCTCAGCTTTGGTTTCCCTCTTCTCTTTGTTCCATGGATAGGTTGTGTAAGCAATATTTTAGGCATTTCTCCATCTGCAGTCCTAGTAACATGCCCTGCATACCTCAAGCGTCTCAACTTCATTGCTTTCACAATATCAGATTCCCCGAAAGCATTGTACAGCTCCTGGTTCGTACGGCGCTTCCACTCCTCTCTAACTTTCACTCCACCAAAACATGACAGAACTTTTCAAAAATAAGGAGTTCCTTTTCAGTGGCGTTTGAAGTTGTCCAGCACTCCGTTCCATAAAGAAGTACGGGACTCACCAATGTCTTATAGAGGTGAAGCTTGGTCTATCTGGAAAGTATCTGCCTGCTTAGCTGCTTGCTTAAGCCAAAGTAGCATTTGTTGTATAAATAGCAATTTAGTATAAATTGAACTATTTATTTATTCCATAATTTCGATCAATATCCAGGTGTATCATTTTGACTCTGATATGCTTTATTCCAATATGCTTTTTTATTCCATTGTTTTCTTCATTTTCAATTAAATAGGTACAATACACCATGGAATTTGTTTGATGAAGAACTTTTGTGTTTGTAATATATTTAGTGGAGCCAGTGAGGCAAAAATCACGATTGCTTATTATAAGGTAAATTAAAAAAATAAATAAATAAAATGGTCTATTATGTGCACTGGCTAAACATCATCACTGTGCCTCATCAGTAGTTAAGATTCATTTAAAATATTATTAGTATTAACATATTAAATATGCATTTCTCATTTGATTCTTAATTTTTAGTATTTAAGTTAAGATATCAGAAAATAATTAAATCTTTATATTCTATTTAAAGTAAACATTAGTTATTTAAACCTTTATATTGCATTAGCTTTGGTGAAATGGTCATTTATAGAAATATTATATGAGGTTATTAATAGGCATCTCTTCTTTCTCTTTCATTTGCATATATTTCATTGAGTCATTTTGCCTTACTGCTTGAGACCTTTTTCTTTTTCCTGTTCTTTGTCTCTGATGATTGGTTCAGTGATAGAGACCTGGCTAACTCTTGTGCTTTTATATCAATATAACAGTATGATTATTTCTTGAAACATTTTATAATTTTATCCATTATAGAATAGAATAGAATAGAAGAATCAACTTTATTCTGGGACAAAGTCCCTTAAGAATAACAAATATTGATTATAAAAATTAGCATTACATCTGGCCAAAATGCATATTACAATAAAAGTATAACTAAAACATAAGTAATAACAGCAGTGTTTACTTAGCTATATAGATGTATTAAATAAAAAATATGAGCAAAAAGGTAATAATACTGCAAATTAGTTGTTACAAACAATTAACTATGAAATAACTAAATGAAATTTGAAATTAATGCTAAATTTCTTTTGTTGTCAAACCATTGTAGTAATGAAAAAAATAATAGTAAAAGAGTAGATAAGTATTTACTATAAATGATTTACATCTGTATCTTAATATGTTCAAATGAATAAAATAATATTATTGCAAATATTTTACAAATCTTATATAATCTATATCTAAGATGTAGATTGATCGGAGAAAGTAAAAGATAATATAAATATAGAGGAGTGCATTCAATATTAGTAATCAATTAAATACATCTCAAAGACTTAAAATCTTATAAATAGAAAAACAAACAAAGAACAATTCAGAGTGAAAGTCACTGCACATCTTTTCCATACTCAAAAAAGAATATATATATATATATATATATACAAATGATGCATAGAGAAAAATGAAATCTTGTTACATAATAAATAATTACCCAGTGTCTGGTTGAATTGTAAGGAGGAATTGGAATAAGAGGGTTTTAAATATGGATGGTACATGGTGGATTTTAAGTGGTGTTGAAATGAGACAGATTTGTGGAAAGAGGTGTAAAGGTTAGAAGGACGAGATCTTGTGGAGAGGGAGTGGATACATGACTTGAATTGAAGGAGATTGTATGCGTAGCACGGACGATGATTATAGTTTATTTGGTAAAGGAAAAATTATATTAGGAATTATATAATTAGTTTTTTTTTTTTTGTTTAATGTATGATTGACCTAAGATTATCAATATTGAGCTACCTCTGTTTCAGTTCAAAATTTGTCATCTGTAATGTTACTACATGTAATTGATAAATTTTATTAATATACCTGATTCAAATATTTTTTTTCAGGCAATACAATCCATTGGCTAGGATGGTTTATTGACAGCATTATTCCTATGATTTTCACAATTTTTTTGCTTACTTTGATATTAGTGGTATTTATAAAAATTATTAATTCCTTTTTTATATAAATTATTATATTTGTATTCATATTAAAACTTGATTTTATTTCAGTTTGGAAACATACTAAGGAACTCAGATCCTTTCATTATATATATTTTTCTCTTTTGTTATGCTTTGGCAACTATATCCCAGTCTTTTTTTATATCAGTTTTTTTTTCACGTGCAAATTTGGCTGCAGCTTCAGCAGGAATAATATTCTTTGTACTCTACCTTCCTTACCCATTCATTGTAAGATGGATGTTCTATTTAACTTCAACTCAAAAATTCTTACTGGTAAGTATTAATACTCTATTAAAAATATTTTTGTGAGTTTATATTTAACCTGACTTTAGTTCGACTGTGATTAAGTTGGTAGTCTGAGGGCAAACTCAGCCAACTCACATTTTTTATTTTTTTCCCTATCTCTGTTTTATTTCTTACATATTGAAAAGTTATAATGTAATCTAATTTATGTATATATTGTAAATAGTTTGGGAGTAATATCAGAGAGTTGGAAAAAACAAAACAAAATATTGGTCCATGTTTTTAAAATATGTTGCTTGTTGGACATTTTTTTCAACAATATTTTGACCTATCCAGTAGACATATTAAATAAGTTTAAGAACCACTTTGACAATATTTTAAATATGGGAAATTATGATCTGTGTCCTCCCGAGCACCAGAGTGCTGAACCGTTTATAGAAGAACCGGTTGAAGTAGATGATGTTGATGTGCCTGAGGGAAACGCTCAATCAAGTTAGATTCGATAATTATTTATCTGAAAAGTTTGAGGTTCATTCGGGTTTAAAACAAGGTGGTTCTCTTTCATCCGTCCTGTTTTATTTGGCATTAGAACATGCCGTTATTGAGATAATGCTTACCGAAAAAGAGTTGAATCTGGGTGGGACAACACCCATGCTCGGAAATGTGAATGATCTGGTCTTTTTAAGTGAAGACATGGAATCTATAAAACTGAATACTGCAATGTTAATGAAAGCCGGTAAAGAACTAGAGCACAAAATAAACGGATAAGACAAAATATATGGTTTGCTGCAAAAATGGGGATAATGCCGGTGATATCGATATAGAAGGTAACATATTTGAGTACGTAGAGAAGTTTGGGTTTCTAGTGTCTACGATAACTAAAAAAAAAAACCAAATTGAAGATGAGATTAAGGTTGTTATTTTTCTGTGACAAAATTACTTAGCTCGTGCCTCTTGTCTATGGATATGTGGCTGCTTACATCAAGGGATGAGCAACGTTTTAAGATTTTTTAAAATAAAGTTTTGCTTAGAATATTCGGATCGAAGAAGGATGAGTTAACCAGAGAGTTCAGATGGTTACACAACACTGAATTGCATGAGGTTAATATAATTGAGGTGATAACATCGCGGCAAACCAAATGGGCTTGTAAAATTGTTGTGTTTAGTAACGAAAGAATTCCTAAAAGGTTAATATTTACTGTACCGAAAGGTAAACGTCCCAGGGGTAGGCCGATTGAATGGGAAGATTGCGTTAAGGCCGAAGGGAACTGGGTTTGGTTGGTGACTGATGGAGGAAAGTTTGTAATAAGTGATGGAGAGTAATGGTCTAACTTCCTGCGGGAACCAGCGTTACTGGGAAGTAGGGACTAGGATTCGATCCCAGATTTTTTTTTTTGTGAAATTCATGACTTTTAATTAATAGAGTAATTTAATTGATAGAAATAAAAAAAAAATATATATATATATATAGCCTCATTTTTATATTTATTAAATTAATAAAAAAAACCTACAACCCATGAAGTGTTATTTAATCTATAATATTTAGTGTTTCAAGATTGTAAACTCCTCTCCTTCCCTAAAAGCTTTGATTTTTATTTTCATATTGTACGAAAATAGGTGTGCAATGCTGGGCACTACAATTTATCGAATTTATTTATTTGTCAAAAAATATTAAAAATGATCTGGTTCCTGATATCTGAATTGGCAAAAATTTGGTTGTTTTAAAATAAATTAAATTTATGACAGATACTACTGAGACTTAATTCATTACTTTTAATATTCTTCTAATTTATAAATAAAAGATGCCTTATTTCCTTTTAAAGTGTATGAAACATAAAATAAACTGTTGAAGAAGGGTGTAAAATTTTTAAAATAATATGAAGACAATAAATGAGGTTTATAATGTCACCTATCCATAAAGTGTTACCTCTTAATTAACAAATGATTTATTAATTTATAAATATTTTTAATTAGGATTATCTGTGTTAGTTACCAACAGTGTCCCACTTATAAACACAAATAGATTGCAAAAATGCAGTGCCTGGATGTATGTTTTTAAATAAGTAAACTCTTGTTAGTGACAGAACCCCTCACATTTTAAATATTATAATATTTCTTAAAATGAAGTTTTCTTTATTTCTTTTTCAGTCAATTTCATCGAATGTGGCTTTTGGTCTCGGGGCTTCATATTTAGCTCTATATGAAGAAAAGGGGACGGGCATCCAGTGGAAGTATTTTGATAAAAGTCCATATTATAACGATAATTTTAGTTTATTATCGGTTATTTCTATGCTTCTATTCGATTTTGTTTTATACATGATTCTCACATGGTACATAGAACATGTATTTCCTGGTAAATTGTTACTTAACATGATTATTTCGATAATGTTTTTTATTTAAAATGTAATTTCATTATATCTATTTTTTAGGACAATTTGGTATTCCAAAACCTTGGTATTTTCCTTTGTCTTGGAATTATTGGAGTGGTAAGGATACTAAAAAAGTTTTTGTGAGTCCTGAAGATGAATTTCTCAATGAAAGTAATAATCAGCAGTAATTATAGAAGGAGCAGATTTAACACAATCCATTCCTAATGTTTATTTATGCAATTTTTCTTTAGATGATCTGAATGACAATTATGAACCTGAACCTGTTGGATTGAAAAAGGGTGTCTCTATCTATAATTTAAAGAAGCAGTATTCTAATGGGAAGTTAGCAGTCAATGACATATCAATTAATTTTTATGAAGGCCAGATAACTTCGTTTTTGGGTCATAATGGTGCTGGAAAGACGACCACTATGTATGTTTATTTATCAAATTCATACCAAAATAATTCAGGTATTTTTAATGTGAATATTATGGCAAGGACAATATCCTAACCATGATAATTTAAGCAGAAGATATACTGAGTGAATGTTTGTTTATATGAACTTAATTGAATACGTGGTACTTTCACCATTTAACACAGCACAAATTTGTCTACTCATTTATCTTTATGGATGGATGGAAACTGTGGTACTTCTTGATATTTTTCAAGGTTTTGATGTTGGCTGAGACTATCTAACATAGATTTTTGCTGAGAAAATTAATGATGATATATCTTAAATAGTCTTAAAGATTTCCCATCTCTAGCGATCTAGCAATACCAAATGCTTGCATTTGCATTTAAAGCAACCTTCTGTTTCTTTCTATTCCTTTTTTCCCCCAAATGCAGTTCAGCTCTGCCAAGTGCTCCTTCCTAATTCAAAAGATTGCTAAGTTTGACATTTTAATGAGTTTTCAAGAAAAACTGTGTTTCCCAAAAAACTCAAATTTCTATAAAGTGACAGAACATTCCATAATTTTTGTCTCCTTTTCAAGATTTATGACGGACTTCATATAAGATAGCAATCACTTTAAAGGAAAATATTGCTTATAGATTCTGAGGCAACAAATGTTTTAGCTACCATCATGGGGATTTCAAGTAAGTTGTTTCTTTTCATCAGCTTTCCAACGATATACCCAACTTTACATAATTGGTCTGATTTTGAAGAGATATTTAGATTTGGAGGTCCAAGAACATTAAATATTATCACAATATGGGTACCTAGTCTTTCTGTTCTGTATGATGGTTCCTAGATGTCTTAATATGAGGTTCATGAAGTTCTGAAGAATCAGACCACTGACTACCCCAACCATAAATTGACCAAACACTAATGCTGCATGTTGCTCACGTTGATGCCTACTGATTTTGCGTAGAATAAATTATATATTATTTACTGTGCAGGTGTCTCTTCAATAAGATAGAGAACCAAATAACACATATTTCACCTCAAATCATTATATTTTTTTATTCATAATAAATGAAGAAATACATATATTTACTCTACAAATTCACAATTACAAAATTCTTATAGAGCTGTTTTCTAAGTGCCTGTGATGTAAAGACCACATTTAAACTGCCCAATTACCACAGCAAGACATAACTTTGTCAACTAAGGATGGAGGAATGATATGATTAGATAAAACTAGGACATAAGTCAGTTAGGAATAGTGTTCTAATTTACTATTTACTGTCTAATGATGTGGTTGATTCTAGGTGAGCCATATAGATAAACAGTGAACATAAACTGTTGGCATAAACCAAAAGAATTAATGAACAAACTAATTTATGGGACATAGATAAATTTAAGAAATTAATTATCAATCTTGAGGAAATTAATTAACAAAATAAAAATGATAATAGTGGCTGAAAAGAACAGAATATCTGTTAGATATTACTAAATTATCATCATAACTGAAATCATCAGTAGTAGTACTTCCAAACAGGTTCTATTATTAAATCAACATGAATGATAACAGTAATAAAAAAAATCTATTTTTGAGTACCTGTTTACCTAGTATTAAATCAATGTGAGATGTATTTAAAAATCAAAATTTACTTAACAATTCATAAAGAAAAACACAATAGAGTAAAGAGTAGTAGTGCAGCCAAATAAAAAATAAAGTAATACATCAATTAATTTTGTACATCTACTATCTTAAGTGCAGATTTCGTAATGATTCTTCCAAGTCCAATCATATAAAATAACTGATTTGTTTGAGCAGAGTTTTGTAAGAATTCAGAGGATTATCCTGTTGTTACTTCCCCCAACAAGTCCAAGATTATTTTCCTAAAATAAAACAAAAATAACCATATCTGTAAGAACTATAAACCACCCAAAATCTAAAATAATTTTTATAATCATTCATAGCTTTATCAACTAGAACTTCACTGACAGAATCTTACAACTATAAAAAATAAATTATGAAATTCATAATTAGAGGAGACAATGAATGCAAAAGTGGAGTTACTTTCATAATAAATAATTAGCAAATCTATTAATTTAATGTTTTTAAATTATTGGTTATACTTGAGACTGACTATTTTAAAAAGATAAAGTTATCTGTCATTTCTTGCTAAGAAATACCTATCATTATCTTAGTAGAACTTGCCCAAAGTGTTGAATGTTTCAAAACTTCAGTTTTTGTCATACATCACTTATGCCTTCAACAGCTCAGATATAAAAAATTAAACATAACAGTTACTTACATGGTAAAATATATATATATCAGTTCAGTTCAGTTCAGTTTTCAATCTGAACAATTTTCAAACCAACAGTTTTCAAATGAAACTTTTAAAATAATTGCATTAGGTTTCACAGTGTTGCCGATCCTCAGCGACACATTCTCATATCTTGTTGTTTTGTTATTTTGTAAAATTTGATCCGAGCTTTGCTTGTTAGCTGAATTCATATATTTTAAAATCTTTTTTTTAGGTTAACAGGTCTGGAAGCAAAATAGATTTAACAAAACATGTTTCAAAGCATATACAATGGCCAGAAAAAGTTTTTATACATGGACTTACACAAGACAAAATAGTCAACAACAATTCTTTCCCTCATATTTTAAACTTACATGTCATTTCATCCAGTTTCTTCCCTTTTGCTCCTTGGAAATTATAAAAATTGGCTTTTATAAAAAAAAGGTGTAATATATTGTATAAAAGTAATATTGTAAAAAATAAATTAAAATTCTGAATCCACTACTGACCAGGAGAAAATAATTTAATAAACATACCATTTCTGTTGGATTATGATTGCAAAAAACTGTTGGCCCAATGTTGGGGAATGGCAGTATTACAACCATGCATTTTCGGTAGATTTTTGGTTGGTAAAAGACCGTTGGTCCAACATTGATATTTGGTAAGCCGACACCCCCAACGTTGGGTCAGCCATGTGTGCTCTACTGGGATTACAGGTATCTAATGTTTTTGACCTCCCAACCACCATGTCTTCAACATTAAACTAGCCTCACAAAGTTGGATATACCATTGGAAAATTAATGAAATTATGTAACATTGTTTTGAAATCCCCAAGGTCGTAACTCAAATATTCATTGCCTGAAATATATCACCAAGTATTTCTGAAAATCAATAATTTTCACTTTTTTACTTTGGCTGCTATGGTTGCCTGCAAAAGCTATATTTTATTACAAATTGGTTGCTATCTTATGAAAAATTCATTGTAGATTCAAGAAAATGTTGAAAATACATACTAATGTTGATATAAATACTGCTGAACATAATTAAAGCATCACCTAATTTTTTTTTTTGTAATTTAATTTACAAGAAATGTTTTAACAGTGGTTCTGAACTTTTTTTTTTGATTTAGAGGAGCAAAACCTTTATTTTAATAACAAATAGAACTTGAGGGTTTGCATGTATACACCTTTGAATATGCAATGTTTCATTACATCAGTAAAAGGTTATTATATTTATATTTTTTCTTACAGATCTATTTTGACTGGTTTATTTCCTCCTTCATCTGGCACAGCAAAAATTAATGGTTTTGATATAAGGACTGACATGGACAGAATAAGGAAAAACCTCGGAATGTGTCCACAGCACAATGTTCTGTTTAATAGGTATAAATTTTATTTCATTGGATAGGCCATGAAATTGGCAAAATTAATATTTCAATTACTTGTGAATTAAATGTGCTTTTGCCATTTTTTAAATAATTAAACATGTGATTATATTTGATAAAACAATAATATTAGGCCAAAAGTTTTACAGAAAGGAAGAACTACTTAAAGTAGTTTTTTAGTTATTATTTTCCAATTTTCCTTTCAAATAATTCAATATTGTTAAATGCAGTTTTTGTCTCTGACTTTAGTTTAGGTATATAAAAAAATTACCAACAAGAATGAAAACTTTGTATATTTTTATTAAAAAGAATAATAAAAAATTAAACATAGTAAAATTAAATTATAAACTAACAATAATATAAAGGTTTGCATCTTTCAAAATTGAATCAAATTCCAAAATTATACAAACTAAATTGAGTAATTAGTAAAAACTTATAACGAAATAATCAATTAAGTTAGATGTAAGATAAGTAGTAGTGGTAAAATATAGGATGATTGGGGTGAGGGTTATAAAAGTTGACAAATTGTATAAAACAACTACATTAAAACTCATATAAAACCAATTGATTGATAACGATAAAGAAAAGTAAATTGATCATCTATATCTAAAATTTAATTAGATCATTCCATTGCCAAAGGATCTAAGATTTTTTTTTTTCTATAAAGTATGGAGGGCTAATTGAGAAAATATCAGTGCATTTATGCTGAGAAAAATTAACGGCGGATCAGAACTATCTTAAACTAGATAAAAAATCATCTTTAATAGACTTAATTATAATTATGAAAATAAATTAAAATGTTTTTTTATTTATTTAATAATATTTAACCTATGTTTTTCATATAGGAGTCTGCATATTAAAATTTGATTTAAATTACTATTTAACTTCTTTTCCTACATAAAAAATCTATTTCAACTTTCATATTTTACTTAACCTAAATTTTTCAGATTGACTGTTGAGGAGCACTTATGGTTTTATGCTTGTTTGAGAGGTGGAAAACTGTCAGGTGAAGAAATCAATTCAGAGATAGACCAAATGATAAATGATATTGGACTACCTCATAAACGCAAAGCTCTCTCGACTGATCTATCTGGAGGAATGCAACGGAAACTGTCTATTGCAGTTTCATTCATTGGTGGCTCAAAGTAATTTTTATTCATTATTATTTCAAGCAAATAGTCTTGTATCCATGGATATATTTGATTTTAAGTGTGGATTAGTGCTGCTTAATTTGTTAAAGTTGTTTTGACCTTAAAGCTAATTTATAATAACCACTATGTTGTAGAATATTTTAATTTTTACAAATACATGTTCTTAGTTTTAAAGTTATTTGTTTTATTTTTTCTAATAGTCACATTGAATAAGTAAAAATAAGAGATTGAAGCAACTTTTTTAAATAACAATGTGTAGTCATTAGAAACTCTTGCTGTTCTAGATGGTTCAAAATTAAGTTACTAGGTCTAGTCAAACCCTATAATCAACTATAAGTTACAAAAACATAATTTTAGTTGGGTTTTAAGTATAACTACTCATTATAAATTTAAGGAGCTTAAGTATTTTCAGAAATTAAAATTGTATAAAATTAAAAGCCATATGTAAATTTCAAATCTGTCTAGAATCAAAATAGAAAATTGATAAATTTCTTACTTTCAAAATGCAGGTTGTTAGCAATTCAACTTGTTAGCTCTCCCCCAGTCATAAATCCTATCCAAGTCTTCTTGAAATTTGGTTTCACATTTTAAACCTTGAAAACAGAGAAATGGATTAGTAAAGTATTCATGTGCTTATTAAATTGTGATATTTTAAATTTATTTTGTTGATAAAAAAGAATCTATATTTTTTGAAGAAATTTCATCTAAGGTTTTTAAATATAATTATAAAATATCTGTCAATAATCAATGAAAATGGAAGTAAAACATTTCTCATTAAAAAAAAAAAAGTGAAGTTAAATTTTACATGGTTTATAATATTTTTCTTAAAGTCTTCGAAAAGTGTGGCTTAGCAAGAAATTTAGCAAGATAGCAAGAAATTTTTCTTGATATCTTTGTCTGAACTGTGTTGGTTCAATGTTTTAAGGCCAAGTGACCATGAGTATTTTCTCCCATAGTAGAGGTCAGAATTAAAGACAGGTAAAAATCTGAGTTTCCCCTAGACAATAATGTTGTATTAATAGAAAAAGATTCAATGGAGAAGAGGAAAAAATATTCTTAAAGGTATTCCGCCTCTTATTCTGAATTCAACTACAGGTTTTCTTAAATGAAAGTTTTTTATTCATGAATTCATTTTCACTAAGTTCAGGATTTTTTTACCATTGACAGTCTCTATTTTATTTTAAAACTTTATTTGTAGAGAAGCTTTCAGTGTCCATGCACCATATTCATCTCTATAATTATAATACTTCAATTAAGATAAATTAACAGTTAATTAATAATATTAGCAATATATGTATTACATATTTTTTTAAACTGTCATACAATTATTATCAGAGTATACCATACCTATTATTAGTTTTGTCTATTTAAAAAACAAAGGATAAGAACAGTGTACTAATAAAAAATTCAAATCCTTAACATACATCAACTAAAAAATTAGACATACATGATTTCAAATTCACTCTCAAAGGAATCCAACACCTAGCCAAAACAAAATACATAGATTGTTAATGTTATTAATTAACTGTTAATCTATCCTAATTAGAGTATTATAATTATAGAGATGAATATGGTGCACGGACAACAAAAGCTTCTCTACTCATAAAGTTTTAAAATAAAATATAGACTGTCAATGGCAAAAAGAATCCGGAACTTATAGGAACATAAAAACAGTCTAAAATTACCTAATATTAATTTTCACTTAATTAATTAAATTAGTTTTCTTTGAAGATATATCTAGTTTTTAAATTTTATTTGAATAGGGTTGTTATTCTTGATGAACCAACGTCCGGAGTCGATCCGTTCTCGAGAAGATCTATATGGGAACTATTACTTAAGTATAAAAAAAGTATGTTCGATATTACATATTTCTATACATTTATTTTAATTGATAAAATTTACTTTTTACTTCTTTTCTCTTGATGCGTTTTCATTGCTGTGTGTAGACAGAACTGTAATTTTGACTACACATTACATGGATGAAGCTGATCTTCTTGGAGATAGAATAGCTATAATTGCTAATGGAAGGGTACAGTGCTGTGGATCAAGTGTGTATCTGAAGAACAAATATGGAAGTGGATATCATTTGACTGTTGAAATTCTAACTCACTCAAAAAAACTGCCTCCAACAACACAGGTATTTTTAATTTATCATGCATGCTCTAATGGGGTTAGTTATTCATCTGTCTGTATAGTTTAATATCAGTTTCAGTCTTGTATAGTTTTGTCTTCCATCATAGACATTGGTGAGCTCTGCGATTAATAAATCCTCTACTATTCTACAACTGCCTGTCTTTCTTTCCATTGGAATAACCACAAATACAATCAAAAGTAGCATTTTCTTCAGTTGAGAACAACATTTTACGAACTTGAGAAGAAAATATAATACTGTATATAATAAAAAAAAAAAAAAAAATCTAACAAGAAAATGTAAACAAAACCAAACTGGTAAAAATATGAATAATAATCGTTAATAAAAAATGATTCACATATTAATACCTACTTTCACTCATGGTTTGTCTGTTAAGAACCATTTTTTTTTACTTCTAATGGTATCAAAAACATACCTTTTAAGTATGGGCCTTCAATCATGGAATATCTTGTATATCTATAATTTATTTATTTTGCTGAAATGTTTATTTTTCATTATTTTTTAGTTTGATCAAAATGGGGATATTACAGGAGCTTATGATCCAGTTGTACTAGGTAATTTTTATTTATTGTAGTTTAAATTTGATAGCATAGAATAGATATTCGAATATAGTAAGATAATAATATAATTTTCCCCTTGTTCGTTAGAATCCATGGTTACATGGTATCTATGTGTTAAATATTATTTATATTTTTTCCTAATGAAGTTTGTGTTTTTGTAGGATTGACTAAATACATTCAAAACATTGTGAATAATGCAATATTTGTGGAATATATTGGTTCTGAAGCATCCTATATTCTACCTGATCGGGATGACACAAGTGCCTTGATGAACCTATGTGACCGTTTAGAAAAAGATAAACACAGCTTGGGAATATTGTCTTATGGGATATCAGATACTTCTCTTGAAGAAGTATGTTAACAGTTTGATTACTACTTTCTTATCATTGGTTTTATACTAGCAAAAATCGGTTTTATAATTGCTATCAATTAATATATTTACCCATGAACGGTTATGGGTTCAGTATAATGTGATGAAGTACTATAACAAGGCCAACGGTTGTGCATGGAGGTGATGGGCCAATATCATGCTCAACCGCCAGGTTTTCCTCCTTAATTAATTATTTAATTAAGAGTACCCACTTTATAGAGACTGGGTTTGCCCCATGAGAGTCTCCCGGCTCCTGGACCAACCACGGTTGGTGAAAAATTACTAGTCATCAGCCAGATTTGAACCTGGAACCTTGAGCTCTGGAAGTTAGTGCTCACCTACTGAGCTACCCCACTCCCATTTACTTTCATTTATTTAGTATAATTAAAGTAATAACATCATGTCATTAATAAAGCTTTTATTTCTTAATTATTTATTAAGGTGACATTTTGGTCTCACACAGCCATTTTCAAATTTTATTATTTTATATTGAACTACTAATTGTAAATTTTTAGAAGCTTGTAAAACAAATTTTCTTATTTGCTTGGGATGCAGATAACTGCTTGTCATCTTTCATGAGAACAATTCATGTATGGTAGCTTGAATCCATCAGAGGAATGGAAACAGCATATGCCTTTTCTGGATGTGCCATGACACTGAAAAAGTGGAGATCTGTTTCAAGTTGCTTTGACAGCTTTTAGTAGCCGGTCAATTAAACATATTGTACTCCAATCATGGGCAAGATTTTAGGCCCTCTGACTAATCTGTATGCTGGCATGCTATCTTCGAAACAGTAAGCTCATCAACTTTAACATGAGAAACAACCATTTTCGATTATAAGTGGTTGTTTCACTGAAATTGGTAATAAGATGGAAAGAGATGGGACATTCTGCCATGCTCTGCCCTTATTAAAGTTAGTCAAAGAAAAAAAATCATAGGAGTGTTTATTCCTCGTTTCTTTAACACTCCTTTATGGAAATTTACTGCTTGTGACAAGTTTTCCTTCCTTCCAATGTTATTATTACTGTACCTGTGTATAAAATATATTAATTGTTCATTTTGATAAATTTTATAAATGGAACATGATTTACAGTCGTGCTCATAGAAATTGCATCACCTATTTCTTTTGATTCTTATGTTGATTCCATTGAATGTTTTTGGTTGTCTTTACTTAATAAGGTTGCAAGAAAACTTAAACAATTTTTCTCAGTTCAGTTTCAACTAATGCCAAGATAAAAGCTGTAATTATGACCAGTTCCAAAAGCTGTTCTTGCCAGAAAATATTGAAATTGTGACATTAAATGAAATAAAGGAATTTTCACTGGAAATAGTAATAAGAATAAGATATTACCAATCAAGTCAGCAGTAATAGTTTTGGAGGGAAAAAAGGATACCATGGAGTGAAAGAAACTGGGAGGAGAATAAAACAAACAAACTATTTGACTGCTTGATAGTGCGATTATTTTTAAAATATCGTTTCAAAACTGGCAAAGAAATATCTGGAGATCTTGCAGATAGTAATCTGGTAAATAAAATACAATTTTTACTGGGTGATGCAGTTTCTATCACCGCGACTGAATAGTTCTTACTTTTAAAAAAGAAGTATGTATGTATTTATGTATTTATTTATTATGTATTTTTTAAATTAATTTATTATTTTTTTCTATTTGGAGGTATATTAAAACATTTCTGTTTTATTAAAATAGCATTTATTATATCTATTCTTTTAAATTTTTTCGTTTACTTGTAAATTATTTTTATTTTATTCTGAAACAGTACTATTTTTGTTTTCAGATATTTTTAAAAGTTGCAGAAAACGATCCAGCAAATGAAATTGTTAATAACAATAATGGTATGTTGAAATTCTATTTATTTTATTTTTTCTGAAAATTATTTTTATTATCAATTTTTTTTTTTCTAGCAACCACTTCCTGTTGGGACTCTTGTTTTTCTGGAGAGAAAAATTTATCAAGAAAAACAATTAAAGACAATGACGAAAGAAGTAGTAGACGTAAGATTAAAACATTTTCTGCTTTAATTTTTGTTAGTTGAGTGAAAAATTATGCTTTATAGATTACTTATTTTTTCTTAATTATTTTATTTTATTTTTTTCATTTAGATTATCAATATTTCAGATAAAAATGAGTATGTGATTTGAATTTTCCTCACTTTTTATTTTTGTTTACAGTTTATCATCCTCCAGATATTATTCCTGATTAATATCAGAAACTTCTCACCTTTATGATGTAATTTTTTTTTGTTTTAAGTGCTTGTTTATGCTGTCATAAATGTTTATCCTTTCAGTGTCACAAGAAGTATTTGTTCAAATGCGTGGTTCTCGTGTCAAGTGTGAGTTGCACATTAATTTTGCATGTTTATATTTCTGGCTTTTTCTGGTTTTTAAATGAATGGATAAATAAATGTGATCACTAATATGATGTAATGTAGTTAAATAAATTTAGTAGTAACTAAAACGTGATAACTAAGGCCCCAGATTTTTATGCAAATGTGTATTATTTTTTTTCAAAGACATGAATTGTTATCTTTAAAAATACAGTCATTCTAAATCTATGGACACATTTTTATGCTGTATATTTGGCAAAATTTGATTATTGTACTTATTAGGCTTAACATGCACATATTACGCATATTTCGCATAATCAAATTTATTTTAGGCATAGTAAATTTATTAAATATATTATTAAATTTATTAAATATGATATTTATCATGTCCATCTATGTCCAACCATAACCAACTATGTTTCGAATGATAAAATAATTTTTCGTTTTAATTTTAAAAAAAGTAGTTAGTTATAAATCGTCCAATAATGGATGTTAACTTTGGTACTGTTTTATTTTTTAAGAAAACATAATATCGAATTATATCATGAAAAATGCCCAAAGATGGCTAACACAGCTAGAAAATTTTTTTATAGTGTGATTTTATAGTGACATCTCTAATAGATGTCAGAATCATTCCAAAAGCAAAGTTTCTTTTTTCTTTAAAGGTAAATGAATGGGTCACAATACTTAATACTGGTAATAAAAAAATATTTTTACTGGAAGCAAGTAAATTTTCTGGTGGCATTAAAAAACAATAAATTTCTTTTCATTCTTAACATTAAAGTAATTGTTGTTGATAGTATTTAATACCCATTATGGAATAATTTTCATAGGATCAAATCCCGGCCCTACTTCCCAATACGGCTGGTCCCCGCGGGAAGTTAAACCATTACCCTCTTAATTAGGGGAGGCATACAGTTATAAAAAAAAAAAGTTCTATTCTATACATACATATGTATTTATATATATATGGATATTTTGAAATACTTGTGTTTGTCAATGATAAATATACTTGTGTTGAATATAAAAACATAAATAATAAAAATACTCTTTTATTTTACAATAAAAATGGTTTTGTTCTTTTTATGTATTTATGCTATAAATATTTTATCATTATTATCTTTTTCACAATTGCTTGCATATTATATTATATCACATCATATCATACTTTTTAAAGGTATTAGTTGGTATATTTTTATTTTTTTTGCATATAAATCTGAACCTTAGTGATTACTAAATTATTATGTTGTTATTAAATTGCACTCTTATATTTTTATCACCTTAACCAATTTTTAGTTATGGATTTTATGAGATATTAAAATGTGTAATTTAAATGTTTGCTAATACTTAAAATCTTTAGTAGCTCAAGATTGATTTAGCCTCAGTGTAGGACATTAATTTGTTGAACCGGTGATATTTTAAAAAATAAATTAGAAATATTTGGGTTCTTCACTGTCTGCTATTATTTCATGATGTCTGTTTTCTTGATGAAAACAACTTAAAAATAAATAAAATAATATAATACAATCTAAAACATTTTATTGTAAGTATTTACTTCTTTCACTTTCTATGCACTTTTCCATTTCTAAAAATGTTCTATAATATTCTCAAACAGATAAAAATCTGTTGGAGACAATTCTGGTGAATATGGTGGGTTTAAAATATCTAGCTCCTTAAATTTATTCGAAGTATGTGTTAAAATTATAGACTTTCTATTGTGATGAAGTTTATGATCGATCTGATGTATGAGTGTTGCAACATAGCTGCATTTGATTGTAGTCGTGATTCATTTATACCTTTGTTTAATGTCTGTTACGTTGTTTTCGATTGTATTATTTTCTATATCTATTATTTTATTTTATTTTTAAGATACTCACTCCCTTTTTTTATTTTTGAACAATTTAGTAGTTTCATTCTTTAAGGCTTGAAAGTATTCAAGATTGTTTTTGCTAGGATTATTTAGAGCTTTTCTTTTTTCGCACAGGTTTTTTGAGATGGCAAAATTTATTAGCCGAATTCCATTATCATCACTAAAGTCTTGTAAACTTTACCGATCGTCAGAAAATAAACTTCTTCCCTTCCTATCTTTGCATTAGCGTCTCCTAAAATTATTTTCATGCCGCTTTGTGATAGTTTATCATAAACTCACTCCAATTTATCATAGAATTCACATTTGGCTTCGTCATCACTGTCTTCGGCCAGACAATGTATATTTATCAACACGATTTTAAACCAATGCCCTATCGTAATACTAAAATAAAATAAAATATGAAACTCATTAAAAACTTTTTTATATTATAAGAGAGATAAATATTAATAATGTTTTAAAAGTGATTAAAGTAATAAAGTAGCTTTATAAGAAGGACAAGAGAAACAAGTTAAAACTTGTGTGTTTAGCCTCACTCTAATCAGAACTGGCCATTGGTCCCAAGTAGGAATACTACTGGAAATTCTTTTGTCTCTTAACTGTGGTACACATTACTCAGAATGTACTACATTTTACTCCATTGTTCTTTATAATTTATTTGTTGTTTAGAATATGTTATCCTAGTTGTTTAAAATATGTTAAAGGATATTTTTTAATTTGTATATATTCATGTGCTTATGTATTAATGCAATACCTGCTTGTAGTGTCAATATTATGTTTTAATATAAAAATATGTTATTTAATTTATGTTTGTCTTGGGTATCCAGTATATACATACATATATAGTATATGTTTGTATTGGGTTTGTATATGGGTAATGTAGACTTATAGTGAGTGAGGTTTCTTTGTCACACTTGAGCATTTGCATGGGATTGATTTTATTTAAAAAATCAATTTTTTATGCATGATATATTTGATTGAAGTATTTTTTATATTTTTATACTTAAATATATATACTTATGTACTTTTTAGTTATTATTATTGGTGCGAGTAGTCTAATATTGAAGATATGAAACTATATTTTTTGATTTAAGAGGCAGTATGATAATTAAAAATGTCTTCACAATCCATAGTTTATTAAACAAAGATACATGCCTTTTGATTTTAATTGAAATCATGCAACTATGCATTACATGCAATGAAATCAACTGTAATATAAATTATTTTTCTTTAATGTTGCCTTACTTGTTTATTTTTTAGTCCTCTTTGTTTATTTGATTGAATATGAATATGAGTGGTAGGTGTTATTATTCATGTAAAAGAGCTGTCACACTGATTCACATTTACATCAATTAAAACTTTTCATATTTGAATTAAAAGAGCTATTGAGATGAATTACTAAAAATCTGATGATATTGAAGATCTTGATTCACAAATAAGAACTGAACTACCCTGACCCCTCAAGTGAAATGTAGTGACCATGGAGTGTGGAGATCATGCCCAACTCTAAAGATCTAAATCACTCAATCAAGGGGTCAAGGATGAGAACATTGAGGCATGGTCCTAGTCTGGAGTAGCATGAGTTTGATTCTCATCTAGATCAGTTGATATTTCACCGTGATCTTATGAGATGAACCAAAATAATCCCACTCCCACGCTGTTTAATATATGGCAACCTCAAAATTAGCAATCAGGAGTTGGCAAAAAGGACAAAAAAACAAGAAACATTCTCTTAACTGGTACCAGTACCAATAGATTCACTAAAAATGGTATGATTGGGCAATAATGATAGAAACAATTCATTCTAGAGCTTAATTCTATTATTTTCATAAGCAGATCTCTTTTATATATATATATATATATATATATATATATATATATATATATATATATATATATATATATATATATAGGAGATCTGCTTATGTATATAGTTGAGACACAGCAAGACAATTTTTATCTGATTTTCCATGTTTAATAATATTGTTGTGGAAATTCAATTATAATAGTTTTGAGAAACTTTAATTGTAAATTTTATTATTGGGCTGTATTGGATTATCCTGTTGTGACAGATGACAAGCCACTAATTAGTTTGTAAAAGAAAGAACTGTTGTGTGGTAAAATAAATAATCACTGAGATGATGAGGGGTTTGTATTCTGGATTATAATGGATATTAAACTTCAATGAGGAGTTGAATTTAAATCGGAAAAGTCAATATTTCTGGATGGATTTCTCCATTAACAGCTTTTAATAATTCTGTAAAATATTGAAGGGGTCTTACATTTTTCTAATTTAGATTTAATCAATGCTGACCTAAAATATAGTTTCCTAATCTATACTTGGTTTATTCTTATTATTTAGACTCTTCAGTGCCTATCATTGATTCAGATCAAGAAAAACACGAGGGTGATAATTTATACTGGAAACAATACATTGCTCTTCATGCCAAAAGGTTTCACCATACACGAAGAAACAAAAAAGCTCTTTTTTCCGAGGTATATTTTTATATTTGTATTAATTTTCTGAAGTTATTTATCTTTTTAGTTCATAAAATGTATCTTACCTATTAGACTATTGACGGTTTTTTTGGCTATTAACATGCATGCATTTTTTTGACAAATTCCTCTTAAATTGTATATTAGATGAAAAAAATAACATTCACTAAAGAACACATAGAAACAAATGTTTGGAAATCTATCTTGTCTAATAAATGACTGGACTAGATTTTTTTCAAGGAGGAGCAAGCTTAATTTGTTTGCCTCTTCATTAAGCTCCGGCCACACTTCTTCCCTCATTAAAAATCAAAATTTTATTCTAGTATTTTAGGAGGCGTATTTAGAAATAATTATCATCTTAATAATCTTCATCTCATAACCAACCAACAATAGATTGGTTAATCGCGTGATTTTACAGCAGTTTGAATAGATCATGTATTTAAAAAACTGCAATAGTAATTTTCTTAAAACTTTAAATATTTTACATAACAGTTCCATCCATCCACTCATGTCTTAATTTATAAATAAGATAAGTAATATTGATTTTTTGTTTATGTGTATATTTATATTTTTCAGGAGATCATATTTATATCATACTAGACACTTTAAAATGAAAAAATGAAAGTTTATTTTTTATATTTTTTTTTACACTAGGAAATCTTGTACAAATGAAAAAGTTTCAGATTCATACTTACTAGTATACAAATATGTAACTAGTGAGGTCATGAATTTAAAAATGCAAAAAAAGAAAATACCATATATGTCGAATTTTCCTTTTTTACGGAACACCATCAATATACTTATGTATTATACAGATTAAAAACAATTACATTTATATTTTTATGATTGCAATTTTTTTTCACGGTTGAAACAGTAATACAATTTTTTTTCAAAACAATTCAAATTATTTGTTTTGTTTCACTTAACTTGTTTTCATCTATTTCTGGGATGGTTATTACACATTTTTCTATAGAGGCATTGACAATTTATTATGATGTCTGTGGAAAATATAATATTTTTAAAATCTATTATATATTAATTCCACATTATAGATACCTTTTCTGGGTCTCTGATGCAAATATCCCGGACAGTGAAGGTTTTATGTTGGAAGTAATTAGAAAAAAGCATAGTTTTTGACTGAGTTAGGAACACATGATACCTGTTAACTGACTAACAGGTACTTTTTTCCCAAAACCTTCTCCCTTCCATTTCTCTGTTCTCCTGGAATATCCATTTTGAGACTTATTTAGTTATTGTTCATAACTCTACCATTTATAGTTCAATAATGATATGGCTTGAAATATTCTATACATCTATATTTATTCTAAAAAAAAAAAAAAAAAATGCTGCAAATTATTTCACAATGGTTTATTATATCCAAACAATTATACATCTAAAGTAACATTACCTTCTTAGTTACAAAGAAAAATAATTAAAAGATGATTATTGGACTAAACATTTTTTTTAATCATTAGTATATGCTAAAAAAAATTAGCATTACTTCAGTAACACATTCAAAAACCAAAACAAATGAAATAACCTTTGCAGTAGAACATATAAAAAAAACTATAGACCATATCTTTGCTCCTAATTGTTTGATTTTATCGAATTTTTTAGGAAATTCCATAAACATTTAAAAAACCATATACAATATGATCAAAAAAGTGTATATTTTTTGAGTTATTCGGAATTTAATTTTACCATCCCTCATAACTTATTTTCCAGCTTCTTTTCGTTGAAGTATGTTATATTTAATTTATATGATTTTAATTATTTTTATTTAATTATATGATAAATTTAAAGGACACGACGAGAAAAATACTTTAGCTCAGTTTTATTGAAATCGGTACATTTGTTTAGGCGCTACAGTCTATAGCAACGCAGGTTTTTCGGCCACCATTTTGAAAGTAAAAGGTGGATAGTAATGTCGATAAAGGAGGATCATCCTCGGGTGACCTCTGATTTTTAATCCAAATTTGAAAAAAATCGGTCGAGTAGTTTTGGAGAAAATGCGTGGACGGCAGACAGACAAACAAATTTGTATTCGTTTTTCGAATTCTACGTATTCTGAAACGTAAAACCTCTAATTTTGAGAGAGGGTTAGGTTTTTGAATTTTTTGGTCGATCACAATGGTTCATTATTAAAAATGATAAACCAAAATAGTACAACCCTTTTTTATGAAATAATACTTCCACTGGAATTAGTTAAAATATGAAAACTTGTCATATTTAAACGCATATTTAATGTAGTTTCCAGGGAACAGTACTTTTATTTGACTTATTACCTGAAAATATGTGGAAGTTGTGGCACATTTCTTGCTTTTTCAAAATATATAGTTAAAAAGTACAATTAAAATAGACAAAACAAACTACAAAATTTGTACATTCATACTACTTTAGTCTTAACTTATCTTGGTTATAAAAATCGAGGTCTGACGAATGTGCTCAAATTTTGGAGGACAACTTTCCCTGAAAAGGGGTACAGAAAAAGGAGGGAGAGATTTGCAATATAAATTGCAGAGAATAATTCAAGTAAGGTATGGTATATTGTACTATTTGTGTTTCTGAGAGTCAATCGAGTCAATACCTTCAAATTTATGGCTGATTTTAGTTGAGTGACATACAATAATCATTATATTTTTCTGAATGTTGTTTAAAAAAAATGAATAAATAATGATATCTATTACATTATTGATAGTGCATACATATATAATATATGTAAAGCATATTGAGGTGTCATCAGCAATTAATATGGTGAAAATATTGTTGACATTTACTGATTTCCTTGGATTTTTTAAAGTGAATAATTAGTATTGAATTGTCCGGAAAATAATGCAGGATTTTGGTTTAAAAAAAAAAAAAGAAAGATTTACAACTGTTTTATTTAATCAAAATAGTCTCCACTACTATCAATACATTTCTGCCAACCTCTTGGCAACTTTTCCATTCCCACGGAGAGGGATTTCCCTTCATTAGAATTGATAAACTCCAAAAACGTATTTTATAGTTCCCTTTGTCCATTAAATTTTTGGTCACATAAATAGTGGTCCAGGTGTCTAAAAAAAAATGTGATAATCCGCAGGCGAGAGGTCCGGTGAGTAGGACGGATGTGGTAGAGTTTCATATCCAAGTTCCAGCAGTTTTTATGACATCACACGTGAGACATGTGGCTGGTTGTTGTCATGTAACAAAATGTGTCCCTTCCGATTGACCAAAGATGGCTTCATTATTGCCTATTCTGATGCATTGCATTTATTTGGTTACAATACAATTCTCCAGGTTTCTCCAGGATTTAGTGTATCAAACAAAATGAAGTCCACCAAACAGTGTAATCATCACTTTTTTTTGATGAGTTGGAAACTTTGGAAAATGTTCTACTGCTTTCCTTTATCAAGCCACTGCCCAGTACGTCTACTGTTATCGTAAAGTATCCATTTCTCGTCACTAGTAACAATTCTGGACATAGGATCTTTTTTGTTTCGGTGTAGAAGTGTAAGAAGTGTAGCACAAACTTCATAATGCTGTTTTTTTTGGCGGTCTTTAAATGTAACCCAACTTTCAAGCTTTTTTACCTTTCCAATTTTTTTTTTCTCCCCTTCCTCGCCTTTTAGGCTATGTGGGGATTTTCCCGGGTCAGAGGGTATGAGTGGAGGATTAATGCCAGAGTTAACAGACTCCCCCGACACCGGGACACGAACTCAGTATTATTTTAATCAAATTATCTCATATATCTGGTTGCTGAGCGATGGCGATGCTGTGCACACACGTTAACCCACTCGGCCACCCCGCCCCTGGTTGTTCTGGGGTTTTCTTCCGCTGAATCAAAAGATGAAGTCCTTCCACGATCTTCTTTGTCTTCAAGACTAAAGTCTTCCGAAATTTCAGTCGGAACCACTGTTAAACAGTGCACTCATTAATGCTGCTCTCGCCCCAGACTTAATTTATGTTTCTGGCTATCTGGGCTCCATTCGGGCCGAGTTTAAACTTCTAAAACAAAATTTTACGAAAATCACGGGTTGACATGACTAGATTATTTATAAGCAGCGAAGTGCTACAGAGGTAAACAAACATAATCGTTCAGAAGAGGATCAAGGGGTGTTGACATTCATACAAATAAATAATTCAGTAAATGTTAACAGTTAGTTACATAGAGAGTATTTTAAAGAAAACTCAAAATCTTGCATTATTTTCCGGACAACTCAATAGCTTCACCAATTAAGTGAGTTGAATAGACTTTCTTGGTAATATTATTTTGTTTATACAATGTTAAACATATAAACTTGTTTTCCTGATATCGCTTACCCTCAATGTATTACAGATAAGAAGGAGAGATATATTATTCGAGATTTCTCGAATGGTTCTGATAGTTTATATTTTAAAAAAGTTTGAGGTTTAGTATTTAAAAGTATGAATAACTATTTTTGGAACATTTCATAAATTTCTTTCATTGTTAGTATTATTTTTATGATTTTTTTCCTAAATATTGATCACAACATACTTCTTAAACTAATTATTTGGGGTTTATACCAATTTTTATTGGATGTATTTTTACTTTTTTTTTTTTTTCAGTTGGTATTACCTGCGGTATTTGTATGCATGTCACTTTTGGTATCATCAATCTTTCCGAAATTGAGAGAGCGACCTCCTATAGTTTTAGAGCCATGGCGATATCCTCCACCAAAGTAATTAACTAACTAATTTGGCCATTAATTAGAGAATTATTATTCTGACTACTTTACTTACTCTTTAAAAACGATTCTCAGATGTTAAATTATATCATTTAATCATTGTATGTCTTTTAGTTATATGTTCTACGATAACAATGCTCCTCAAGAATCTTGGACCCGGGAATATATACATAGCATGAAAGGACCAGATGGTATTGGAGCAAAATGTATCATGATAAATGGAACTAGGTATCTATTTCTATTAATATTCAATATCAAACATTTTAAAGTTATTTTTACCACATTTGGTTTGCTTGCAGAAATAATGATTGTGAGCAGGTAGTTGCTGAAACTGTTGAGCCTCCAATGTCTTTTATTCTCAGAAATTCTTTGGCTGAGTGTTCCTGTGATTCTGGTGCTCAGGTTTGTCCTGCTAACGTAGGAGAACCTGAACCTCCATATTCTGTGGTAATTTAAATTTAATATTATTAATATATATATTTTTCTTGTTGCCTGCTAGATATATAATATATTACAAAACTATATTCTTTCAATGCAGATTTTGGGTATATCTGAAATAGATAATAAAACTATATTCTTTCAAGAGAACTTTTCGATACATGTTGATATTAATTAATGTTAAGGAATACATAGTCAGAATTGTTGTTGTTTATTTCTTATATTTTTCTTTTCTTATGACTAAACTTTTTTTTTATGGTATTGTTGATTCTATTAACACATTTTTTCCCTGCATTTTTCTATTCTCAAACTGATCTGCATTTAAATTTATAGTATCAAATTTCATATTTTAAAGAAATTAAAATATTTATTTGTTTTGATGGATTCATTAAGTGACAGCATATTGCATAAATGTTTTTTAAAATTGTTTATATTTTTACAATGGTTGTTAAGTTAAGTCTAGAGCTGCATAATTTATTTCAAAAGATAACCTAATAATTTAGGTTTTAAACATTTAAAAAAAAGTTTTTAAATTTTAATTAATTTTCCTTAATATTATAAATTCAAGTATGGCAAACATGTATCCAAAACATTACATCATAATTAAGAAGAGTTTGGTATTAGCATTTTATTAAAAAATTATGATATATTTTATTTTATTTTTTAGCTCACTACTCATGATATACTGTATAACATGACAGCTCAGAATATTTCTAAATGGATTGTAAATACCTGGCCTAAGTATGAAGAGCATAGGTAATACAATTAGTGGATTTGTTTTATATTTATATTATTTTAACATTTTATTGATCTGATCACTGGTACACATGTACCAGAGCCAAGTACATGAATTAGAATTTTGTAAATACAAGATGTAGCAGTTTATAATTCTTAATTTTTTTAAGAGAGAGTGCTGGAAACAAGGATTGGGTCACAGTCAAACATCTTATGTTATTTTGTTGCTATAACTGTACTTTTCAAAATGCCATTGATGTTAAAACAATTTTAGGTTAGCCTCTTATGTTTTTTGTGTGGCATAAATGTCGATTTTCAAGCCATACAAATCGCACTTGTGGGATTTACTAATAGAAAGAAATACAAAAATGAAAACTTGCATATTTGTGGAAACTTGCGGTGACAATGTCCTCATGAATGGTGCTTTTGTGCATTAGTTTAGACCAGAGATCTCCAAACTAGAGCCCTGAATGTTTCTTTGACTAAATGTTGAAATTTTAAAAAATATGAAATTTAGTAAAGTACTCAAATAAGAGATTACTACAACATTTATTGCATGAATTAATTCTCTTAGAAAGCTCATTTCATAAGTGAAGTATTGAACAAAAATTGTTTTTCATCACAAATCTTGGTCCACAGAACTTACTGGAGGTCTTAATGCGGCCTGTGGGACTTCCTGGAGGTCTCAATGTGGCCTGTAGGCCAAAAAGTTTACGAGACCCCTGGTTTAGACGATTCCAAAATTGTTATTTCGACTTGAAAGACAAAGAACGTTGTTGAACTGTAAACATTTCAAGATGCCAAATTTCAAGCATTGTTGGACGAATATGATATGCAAACTCAGGAAATGGCTGAGAGATTAAATGTTGGTCACCCAACCTGCATGCCATGGGAAAGATCCAGAAAGCAGGAAAATGGGTACCACAACAGTTGAACGACAGACAGATGGAAAAGCAAAAAATGGTGTTCAAGTTTTACTTTCTCTCATTAAAGAAAGACTTTTTCTGCATTGAATCATGACTTGAGATGAAAAATGGGTTAGAATTTGTCTGTAGTGGTAGTGCATTCAAACATTGCAAAAGAGATGTTGAAAATACGTAACTAGCAAGGGCACTTTGGATAAAACTTTTTTACCTTTATTCCAATTAAAACTTTTCTTTAAAAGAAACAATTAAGCATTATTAACTGCCACGCTAGGTAGTATTAATAGGATCTACTAGATGGCAGCAAGAATAGAAAAATACATAACGAACTAAAAATAGCTGGTATAGAACAGTTGGTATAATACCTGTATCAGTGATCACGTAGGATTTATCTTTAATACTTCTCTAACTATGGTTAACAACTTCTTGTTATTAAAAAATTAAAAATTGTAGGTATTAAATCATTTTAATGCTTTTGTTTAATTAAAAAAATGTGTAACAATTTTATTCAGTCATTTTTTTTTTTCTTCACATTTGTCAGCAGATAATAATCTGGAAAATTGAAACGATTAAGAGAAAATAGCTTGAGTAGATCTTCGTGTTTTTATTTTTGAATTTCTGATTAAGCTAATATATTATTTATTGGCCTTTTATAATTTGTTTCCCTCTAATAAAGATATTTCCTTTTCAATCGAGAAAATATTTCTCTCTGAAATATTACTAAAATTTGGAAAATAATCTAATTTTATTTTATTTTTGGTTAATTATTTTCAATATTGAACTTCTGTAATCGGCCTAGGAAAAAAAATTAAGGTTAAAATTTGAAGCTTTAAAGGTCACTCAAAATTTGAGATTTTATGTTTCTAGATATGTATCTACAATCAATAAGTCAAATTAAAAAAGTAATAATAATCTGTCCATTTTCTAGTCATATCTTTTAGGTTCGGTGCCATTTTTAAAATAAAATATTAGGCCAAAGGTCACCAAGTGTACACAGTTTTTACATTTTTTATTATTTATTCGATATTTCGGCTTCAGGAGCCATTTTCAAGATCCTGCAAACTAATTAACTGTCCATCGGCAATTTTCCTCCGAGACTACTATGTTGATTTTTTTAGATTTAGCTAAAAAACCACAGGTAACGCCAGGATCAATCCAGGTACTCAATATTACCAACCATAACTTTGCTTAAAAAAAAACAAAAAAACATTGTATATGGAGAATTTTTCTTTCAAAGCCGTTTTACACAGTTAGGTTTCTTGGATAAATAGTTAAGTTTTGTGACCAAATTTTTCCAACTTGTTGGAATTATAGCACTCCAAGTTTTCGTAAAACTATTCTTCAAAATAGCTTCTGTAGCAGGCCATTTTTCTATAGTCATTTCGGTCATAACTCTTTACTTTGAAATTTTCCTTTTAAAGTCAAAATTTTGGGTTGGAATTTTTTTTAAATTGTTAGTAGTTATAAGGGAGGAATAAATTGATATGAATTCTAAATTGATGTAAAAAGTTCCCTCTCAATAAAATTACCTTATACATGAAGTATCAATTTTCATTACTTAATATTTACCACCTATCAATTTAAATAAGATTAATTGTGAAATAAATATAATTAATCATAAACAATTATAGAAGGAAGCTAGTTGACTGTTCTACACATCGTAGGTGATAAATAGTCTGGACGCAGTTATTATACAAATTTTTTTTATTTGTGCCAACGTTTCAACCCAAACATGTGGATGTGGGTCATCTTCACGGCATTCGAGCACTGAATATAACCCACATGTTTCGGTTGAAATATTGGCACAAATAAATAAAATTGTATAATGACTGCGTCCTGACTATTTATCACCCATGATAAACAATTATAAAATACCAATGAAATTGAACTTATAACCGTAGTCTGGATTTTTATGCAATCTTGATATGGAATATATAAAATTGAATATTTAATGGTTGACCGTTGTATATTTCAGAGGAAGGAGATGGTCTGGGGTGGCAGTCATAAAGATACTAAAATAGTGGAAAAACTATTTTAAAGTAAAATAGTTTTTAGGGTTTAAATAAAATAGTTTTTTCCACTATTTTAGTCTATGCCGCCACCACGGACCATCTCCTTCCTCTAATTATAAAATATTTTAAACACTAGATGATTAAGTTTCACAAAATCAAATTTAGAAGATATTGAACGCATATTATATGACATATTAGTGCATAAAAATCTGGGCTCTGTTTACAACATACAACATTGATTTTGAAGTAAATTTCAGTACAAATATTACTTTCGTCACACACATAGTAGAGAAATAAGGCAACTACAATGTCTTCATCCTGACTTAATTGTTCAAGAAACATAACCTTGTAAATGGATCTATTAAGTCTGTGGTGATCTTCCCTGATGATTGAAAACCAGAGTACTTAACTACTTTTTAATGCGGTCAAGAAATTGAATCATATAAATCAGCCTTCACTGTTCATTATATTATTATTTTAATTTTGTAAATAACTTTCATTTTATTATATTTTTTAAGTTCTGTGCATATTTTACTTGCAATGAGGTTCAAAGATGATCGAAACACTACTAGAGTTATTAGGATATAAATTTTTAGAAAATTGAAGCATTCATTCACTATTGAATATCAGCAATGAAGAAATTCAAAACTCATGTACATAGTTGTGATTCACCATATGACCAGATAATGCTTCTCCAACAGGGTGCTGGTACATATGGTGTACTAGTCTATTATTTTCTATCAAACCTTTTTTTCTTCTTATTTAATGAAAAAACACCAAAACTAAATAGTTAACACCTTTAAGAATAAACATTTTTTTTTGCACTGTTCCATTATTTTAATTGTCAATAATTATAAACTCTATAAAGTCCTATTATTAATTTTATCTTGCTTTTTAAGGTATGGTGGTTACAGTTTCGGAACCTCTTTAATAGTTCCTACATTAGGAATAGCTGACATAATTAATATAGCATATGGTGCTCAAGTTCCTGAATACCTTAATTTTCTAAAAACTCAACCAAATAAAACTGATTCTACACTCAATAACATCAAGGTAAATTTTTGTTTTATAATGCATGTTTTTTGCATTTTTAGTAGTTTGCCAAAAATAATTATTGAGGTATTTATTTTATTCCAGGTTTGGTTTAATAACAAAGGCTGGATTGCATCAGTTACTTACATGAATGCCATAAATAATGTTGTATTAAGATCAAGCTTGCCATCAAATATATCTAGTGATTATGGAATTGTAACAATTAATCATCCAATGAATTTCACTGGGAAGCAATTAGAAATTGAGCTGATGTATGATATTATATTTTTGTATTAAATGTTTCTTTACCTACTAAAACCTTTTATAAATCCAGTGTGACTTTTTTTATATTTTTTAATTTTAAATGTGTGTTGAGATCCAGTAGTTAATGTTGAAATTGACAATTGATGTCATTCCTGTTTTGTTTTTTTTCTTTTTTCAGTTGGCATTTCAGACTATGTAGATCTTTTGCCGCCTTAACAAGCCTGCTCTTTCTGTGCCTGTCTTGGGCTATTTCTTTCCATTTATCTGCATGCAGCTCTATTGCATCTTTGTTGATTCTATCTATTCATCTCTTTTTTTAGCCTTCCACTTAGTCTTATGCCTTCTACTGAGACATTCATTGTTATGTAGTGGCTTCCAAATGGATTGCTACAAGCTAAATGCCCTGTCCATCTTAACCTCCGTACCTCCATATCATGAGATATTGATTGACCAGTTTCTTTATTGGTCTTTCTTCTCCATGTGGTTGGACTTTGATCCCAGATCACTCCGGTTATCCTGCAGAGGATATTTAACTCAAATCTTCCAACACTTTTTCTGGAGTGTTGGTTAGTGTTCAGCCATGTTTTAGAACTGGCTTTATCTTAGTTTTGTACAGCCTTAATTTGAGATTTTTCAGGATTTCAATACCTTTGAAAGAGAGAAGAAATCACTGTTTGCGTTAGTTATACTCTAGTCTATTTCTGCTCGTTAGTCATTTATTGAGGTTATTGTGGAGCCGAGGTATTTGAATTTTTCTGCTTTCGAAAATGATTTTCCTTCTAAACAGATTCTGTTATTAGGATGGAATTGTTGGCTTAATGCAGTCCCGTTGTAATATAACATAATAACCCGGGTCTTTTAATTGGAGCTGCTGAACTTTTATTTGTTTGGTGGAGAATGTAGGTGATTTATTTATAACAATTATTTTTGCAATATACAATGTAAAAAGAAAAACTACATATATAAACTACTTTCAGAATAAATATTGTTGTTATTTTACTATAATTGAATTAAGTAAAAAATATTGAATTAAAATTTTTCTGTTATTGTAAATTTAATGGATGCTGATGGCATAACTGGTTCATGGACTGTAAATGCTAAGGATCAAATAAACGACATCGATAAATCTAATATTTTATTTAATAATTCAAATATTTATGAATGAAATAAAATTTAAATTTATATTATCTATTAGTATAAAATAATGTATAATGCTTATTACGAATGTCTTTATGGTAGCTCCAAACTTATGATGTTCCCCCAATTGAAGATGGTCTTCATCCTATCTATGCTTTTCTAATCACTGTTTACATGTTACCACTACAGCTTTCCAAAACCAACAGATTATGATTCATCCTGACTTACAGCTGGAACAAGATTGGGTGAAGCGCGGGAGTGGAGGTCACGTCCTTTCCTCCACGATTTCGGTTGACACTACAGACCATGAAGATCTTTGACTGCGAGATGTGGTCTCCTAGACAACATCCCAATTCCTGATTGGATAAGTACATGGAGTAGGGTCATCAGTCCTACGCCCGGTGGGTGTGAGTTGCCTCCAGTAGGCTGATGGGTCTCACATACCATGGGGGGGGGGAGGCAATCTCGGACAGCTTGGCTTTCCCTGGTGGACGGTCACCCATCCAAGTGCTAACCACACTCTGCATTGCTTAACTTTGATTGCCTATTGCAAGCGCCTTAGCCTGTACAGCTTTCCCAGCCCCATATATATGTATTTATATTAAAGTCTGTGGAATTGAGATTCTATGGATTCCATATGGCCGAACGAATGGTTTGGAACAGAACGAGATAATATGAAATTTCGTTCTGCCGGAATGTAATCTGATAACAGAATATGAACGTCTTTAGGTTACAATGGCTAAGTGTTCAGGAGAAGAGTCAAAAATAGTATTGAAGATATTTATAGGAATTAAGGAAAGTATGTTGCCGCAGAAATGGTTTAGCAGAATTTGTTGAATGGGTTGTTCTCTTCAAAAATGAACCATAACAACCTAATTTAATTTAGTCTTTGATTAAATGTAAATAAATCAAATTAAATTAGAATATAATCTAATTTAATCATGAATATAATATAATCCAAAATAGTTGAATTTTATATAGAAGTTAGGAATTTTTAAAAACATTAATTAAAATGAAAAGATTCAAGATTAATGAGAACAAACATACTTATTTTAACCAACAAATTTTAGATAGGTAAATAAAAAATGTAATCCTGAAATTAGCTATGGAAGTTTAAGGAATTAGAAACTCTTAGATTTTGTATTTTATTTTACTCTACTTTTTCTACCTATCTAAATGTCATAGAAGATATGATACATCAAATTGTTTAAATTTTTTTAATGCTAATTATTTATGAATTTCATTGATAAGATTATTATTTGGGCATTGATTATAATATAGCTATAGTAATACTGGATTCCTCCCAATCTAGCTTTTTAAATATGGTTTCAACTAGGCAGCTGAATAGTAATAATGAAATTGGAAAATCTTGAATCTTCAATATTCTATTGAAGAAAATTAGTTTTCTTATAAAGCTATTTATTTATGTATGTTATTTTAAGGATATTATTTTAATTTTCATTGTAAATAAATATTTTATTGTGTTATTGTATATAAATAATGTATTTGATTTGTAAAAGATTCAAATATGCTTGAAAATGCTGTTAAATTTCTCATAAATAGAGAATTGATAAATGTTTGGCTTCATTTCAGTCGCCAGGGAGGTGTTTCCTTATTACACGCCATTTCTGTGATATTTGCCTTAAGTTTTGTACCTGCTTCATTTGTATTGTATCTTATTGAAGAAAGGGTCTCACACTCAAAACATCTGCAGCTTGTTTCTGGTGTAAATAAACTCATCTATTGGGTCCAAGCATTTTCCTGGGATCTTGTAAGTTTTGTTGTTTTTAGATATGTATGTATATTTTAATCATAGCTTATACTGCAAAAACTATCTCATCCAGAGTTGCTTGAACTGACATGACACCAGATAAAGAACACCTAATAATAGAAACTAGTTAAAAACTATTAATAATGGTATAGAAAACTTTTATTTGATTAGCAATGTAGCCAGTATTGATAATACTGGAAAGTAAAATATATTTCATTTTATTTAAACATTTAAATAATGAGTTGAAAATTGTTATTGAAAACTTTCGAGAAGAGTGTGATTTGTTTTGTTAATGCTAAATAATTTATTAAGTAATAGTTAATTATTCATGTTTCAATTCAATTTGATTAATTTTAGTGTTATTTAGTAATGCAATTTTTATTGTGACAATAGTGAAACTTTTTGTGATTTTTTTCTTTTTGTGACTGCAAAGTTAGAGAGTTTACCGAATATACTATATATTTTATATTATATTATATTTATGGTTACCGTATACCTTATATTAGATAATTTATATTTTGGTGTATGCATTGGTATCATTTTATTTTAAATTTCAAATTAATTTTTCCTTTATAAATTTTATTCTAATTTCAAGATATTTTCTTATATATTATATAAGATATCATATTTCCTTTGCTCTTGTTTTTATGTAGGTAACTTGGTTACCAGCCAGTATAAGATTACAGTATGAATATGAATGTTCTCAATTTTTTAAAAAATAAAACTTTAGAATATTATTTTTCTTCTTTATGGTTTAGTTATTAGTGCTGCTGACTAATGACCTTTTCCCTTTAAAATTTGTTTTTTTTTTTAGCCAAATCAATGACACGGAATTGGTTAATGTTCTTTTTGACTGCAAATCCCTTATAACAAGCCTGAATGTCTTACCTTAACTGTTTTAAGATACTAGCTGGCCTCGCAACCGGTTAAATCTATGACTAATGTGTAATAAATCAAAAAAGTACTTATCCAGTTTCGGCTGAAAACAAAAAATACTTGAAAGTTATTTATTTAAACTTGTTTAGGGTCATTCAAAGGAATTAATGTTTTTCTTGTTTGGGTGGGTGATATATTTTAGAAAAATAAAGTAGAAACTAGAGTTGGTTTTGTTTGTCACTTTATAGTTCTTTTTTTCTTGAAACAGTACTATCAGGAACTTGTAATTTATGACTTATATGAAATATATAGTAAGGGAAATTATTGCAATCGTGAAAATTTGCTAATCTGTTGAGTTTTCAACTGAAATCCATGTTTTGAGGTCCCCTGAGTCAAAATAACCAAGTCCCGCAAAATGGTGCGTGTGTTAACAGTCTAACTCAAAAATGAAAAGTCATACGAAAGTGAAATTGCATATTTGAGGTTTTTATATGCTTGGTATGTTACAGCAACTTTTTCGTGGCACTTTATGTCATGGATTAAACACATTTTTACAGTTTTCTCGAAACTAGCTCTAACGATTTTGATTAAATTCATTATATCAGTGTAAAATTAATCAGTTTTAAATAAAATTTAGGTTTTATTCTGATTGATGTTCTATAACAGGGTTTAAATGGCAAAATTTCAATATAAATCAATATAGCGTTTATAATTTTTACTTTCACTTCCCCTTTGTCTGAAAATACTTATTTCTGCTAAGAAGAGAGTGGTAAGTGAAAGTTGTGTGATGCGCGCACCACACCAGATTTGTTTTTTTTTTTCAATGCATCAAGCTTTTGGGAAGGTTCCCAATGATTATTTATGTAAGACTTTTGTTTATTTATGTACAGATGATATTCAAATAGGTCATGACTATCATATGAAATAATATCTTTCTAATTTTAATATCTTTCGAACCTAATATCTATCCAACAAATACAATTTGGTTTTGTTTATTCTTCTTGCTTTAGTGAAAATAAGAGATTTTTGAAAACATTTTGTTTTTAGTATTAAGTTTTTGTAGACACATGCAGTACTTACATACAGTCCAAATATCAATGAAAAATTATATAAGTTTCCATTTAAATTTGTTATGCACCAACTGCGTCTTGTAAATTGGCTGGTGTGTGTCGACTCCATTTGTTGTAGGTATCATGAAATTAGGTAGTTTTGATCTTTTTAATTTTGAGTATGTTTTCCAACTAGTTGATCTGGTAATTTTGGTATATTTGTTATATTACATACTCAATCTATGTTATAGTATATCACAAAGTAATGGTATTGTATTCAAACATAATATTAATATTTCAGATGGCGTATCTTATGTCTTCATTTCTTTGTATTCTGATATTCCTAGCATTTAATGAACAGGCTTATGTCTCTTCTACTAATTTTCCTGGACTTTTGCTCCTTTTCCTATTATATGGGTAATGTAATGTAAATACTTATGATTTTTCCAGTCATTAAATTATTTTGATATTTATTTAGTTCAGAAATTCACTTTTTTAGATGGTCCTGCATACCATTGATGTACCCTCTGAGCTTTGTATTCTCCATACCAAGTTCAGCTTTTGTTAGCTTATCTTGTGCCAATATGTTTATTGGCATAATAACTACAGTGACAACATTTGTATTAGCTGCTTTCGATGATCAGGTAAGTAGTTTATTCCTCAACTTCAAAGATTTCTTTATTTTTATTTTTAGATTGAATAACAATATTTTTGTTGTATTTTTTTAATTCATGATATTGATTTGAGATACATTACATACCTTCAATCTTGACTTTTTTCTTAATACCTGATGCAAGAACTTCGTTAAATGGTTGTGTTTTGCTTAGCTTGGGTAAGAAATAGAATCCCCATATATGGTATATGAATGCTTGAAAATTAAATTTATTTTGGGACATCTAGGCCTCTTAATGTAATAACAAAATGTACAATTCCAGAGACATTTGTCTTCTTCAGGTAATAATTATGAAACAATCAAATTATTAAATAAAATACTAGCTTATGTAAATGAATTAAATTATTTATATACGGACATTCATATATTCATTCATACACTGATAGATACTTACTGGTATCATTGTTTGTTTGGTCCAGTTAAACAATGAAAATATAAGCAATGAAATAGCCATAAAATATAAAATTAACATTTTAAAAAAGTAAAAGGGAGCAGTTCTATGAGAAGGAATGTACAAGTTGGTGTGTTGGGATCTTGTGTTTTAAGAGTGGACCAAGGAACAACATTGAGAATGTAAGGAGGATTTTTTTGCTTTAAAGTATCAGAAAAGATAAACTCTTAGGAAATACTGTTGTTAAAAAAATAGAATAGTCACTTTAACTCAGCATACTAACTGAATACATCTTTTTTATGAATTTTAATTAAGAGTTATATTTTATTATATATTTTTTTTCCAATTCAGAGAAACCTCTGAAGGTCAAATATATTTATAAATAAGGAGGAAATTTTATTCTTTTATTATTATTGTGAGAGCTGGGTAGCTCAGTGGGTAAGCACTGACTTCCAGAGCTCAAGCTCCCAGGTTCGAATAGAGCTGATGACTAATAATTTTTCATCAGCTGCCGCGTGTTGCCCGGCAACCTGATAACTGAAGTTGGAGTCAATAAAAATTATGACAATGAGTTTGCGTCCCGGTGCCCATGGAGTCTTCTAACTCTGCTATTAATCCTCCGCTCTCACTCCCTGGCCCAGGAAAACCTTTGTATAGGCTAAAAGGAGAGGTAGGGAATTACAAAAGAAATAAGAATAAAAAATAAGAAAATGTGTGATTAATATTTCTATTGTTCCTATTTTGAGAATCTTTTTATTGAAAAATTTGGAAGCAAGGTTTACTTTAAAATTTTCATTAACTTTTGTACTAGCCTTAAAAATTTCACTAACTTTTATACTTAGGCCTGCAAGATTCCAACTATTGCCATATTATATATACCTCTGATATACAGTAATAGTAAAGGTGATCCAAAAAATTAAATATATTTGTTAATATGTTGTCTTTATTGTCACAATTTCATTAATTTCTTGTAACATTAGAAGCTTGGAGAAAATTATGTATTTTATTTCTTTCAATAAATCTTTATTAATTTTTTTTTTGTATTTCTAATGAAGAATACTTGTACTGGTTAATAATATATATATATATTTTTTTATCGACAGGAATTAAAGGAAATAGATAATATAATCAAAGAAGTATTTCTTATTTTTCCTCATTTTTGTTTGGGAGATGGTTTGATGAAACTGGCTGCGAATCACTTAGCTACTGCCTCTCTAATGAATTTAGGTACAATTGCAATTCTAATTTTTCATTTTACACCAATAGTTGAATTTTTCATCATTTATCTATTATATCTATATATCTATTATCATTTATCTATTATCTATTATACACTGACAGGTGAAAAATTCCACCCACTTGATTTTTTCATGTTTTCATCTAAAAATATTTCTGCTTTGGATTGGTCTATTGTTTTTAATGAATAAATAGGTAATCTTTTTGTATGTTTTCAATTAGAAATATTAATATAGAGGATAATAACTCTTAATCCTTAATTCAATGAAATGATTCTAGATTCCAATGTTTACTTTCTGTGGAACCAAAATGTTTATTCAGTATTATTAGTTCAGTGCCGTTTCTTACAGCACATTTCTTAGTCTCCGGCTTTTAATTTTTTCAATATTAAGTTTAAAAATGCCTCTTAGTGTTGAGGATGTTGTGCGTGGTGTGGCACTTATTGATGATAGACGTTCCATTAGATATGCAGCTAATGCCCAGCTAATGAGTCAAGATTCGCTCTTCGATCTCCAGACGGGCGTGAAAGAGTGTGGAGAAGAAGAAACGAAAGATATGCAGCCTGTAATTTTTCCCAGAGCCAACCTTTCCAACGAGGTTCCTTAATGGTGTGGGCTGGGATTTCAATGGAGCGCTGCACAGAATTAGTTGTTCGTGGAGGATCTTTGACGGCCATTCGGTATGTAGATGAGGTTGTGGAACCTCATGTGTTGCCTATCCTCAACGAAATCTGCGATCGTTCTATTCTAATGCACGATAATGCACGCCCACATGTCGCCCGCATAGTGCAGATGTTCTTTCAACAGAACAATATTGAGGTTTTGCCTGGCCAGCACGTTCTCCAGATTTGAACCCCGCATTGAGCATTTATGGGATAACCTTCCTTGGAAGACGAATAAGAGCGCGTGCAACACTTCCTGATACACTGCAGGACCTTGAAAGGGCTCTTCGGGAGGAATGGGCTATCCTCTAGCGAAGGGACATTTCCCGACTGGTGGAAAGTATGTCGAGGCGTCTTCAAGAAGTAGTGAAGGCAAGAGGAGGAAACACGCGCTACTAAACGATGATGTAATTAATTTCTTTTAGAATAATAATGGTTCGTTTTTCAATTTTTTTTTCTCTAATCTTTCTTACCCAATCACATTTTGATTATTAAAGGTAAAATAGATTATAAAATTCCATAAATACTAACTATTATCTACAAATACCATGTATTATATACAAATTCAACTTTACAGAAATATTTTTAGATGAAAACATGGAAAAATCAAGTGGGTGGAATTTTTTGCCTGTCAGTGTATAAATATATCTATATTTTTACAGACATAGATTTTGAAGCAAATGTATTTGAATGGGAATTCCTTGGTAAAAATTTGCTATGTATGGCTTGTTTTGGAGTATTATTTTTTATGGTTACTCTTGCAATAGAGTTTGAAATATACAATGTTTTTCAAAGAAAGGTAGAGGTAAGTTATTCTTTTATATATATATTTTTTCTTGATATAAGTTTTTATATTACCAATTTATTTTGTTTACTATAATAACTTTCTTTTTCTAAATTTTATTTATAATTTTAATAAAAAAAAGTTAACTATTTTGATGTTCCAGTGCCAATACTGTATGTTATAAAATTATAACATCATATAAATAGGAAGCTGGTTTGGAACTCCAGCTCTTTAGACTCACCCACTAAAGTGCCAGCCGTAGAATAGGGCAATCCGGTCACATACCTGTCGCTGGTTATGAATTATAAAAAATTAGAAAGCTTTATGAGATAAATTAATTTTAGCTTATCATTAAAATAATTAAATTAGTTTCATATTAAATGAAATATAGTTCAAGTATTAAATAATATAATATAAACAGCTTAAGAAATAAATTAAATTTTTTTGGAGTAGATAGGGTTATTGCCTGGGTCCACCCTGTTTCTTTGACTGGCACTGTCCTACACAATGCAGTATTGTAGTAATTTGTTACTTCATAACTTGATTTTTAAGGGATGCAGTAACAAAGATAACAATTGTGAATAATGCTTACATTCTTTTTGAATAATTTATTTAGATACATCTCATTATTGGAATAAATAACTGAGTTTGTTCTTTTTTGGTAAAAATACAATTAGTATAACATATAAATATAAATATTACTATAAAATATATATATATTAGTATATTTTGGTTTTATTTTCTCTTTTATGTAATAAAAAATTATAAAATTCATCTCTTGTCATTTTTAATCCATAACCATATAATTGGTCATAAGAGAAAATTTTGTTAACTCTATAAAATTAAATTTTTTTACTGTAGGAAGGAGCTCATTTTCAGGGTCACTAAAATTAATAAATATAAATTAATTGATAAAACTGTGTGTACTTGGATAGTAATTTTTTTACTTATATCAAACTATACGAGCCTAAACTATGTTTTGATCCCAGAAAGATAACAATGTTATTTTGAATAAAAAAATAGAGAACAAAAAATTTACATCATTATGCCATCCATGGGTTGGACACGGCTGTTCTCAACTATAAACCTAATATAATATATAGTAAATGTAAATAAATATTTGCGCACATATCTATGTACATGTTATAAAGGAAATTTGGTTCAAGCATTTTAATTTATAGTGCTAAAATTGAAATTTAGCCTTTAAATTGTATAATATGCAATATCATTGAACAAAAACCAAAAACGTGCAATTAAGCCAAAAAAGATCAAAACGTGTGATTTTATGCAAAATGAAATTTAAATATGTTATTCTACAGATTGTGAAATAGATAGATTGTCGGGTTTGAAGTTTTACACCTAAGTGAACGAAATGTGCAATAACATGAAAATTCGGTCTCTAATCATGATCATATTGCTCTACAAATTCCGAAAACTTAGATATCTCATTGCTTTGACCTAAAGACAGCTAAATTATATTTTTTTTTTCTTTCTAATAATGAAAAATAATGAGTGAAGAATTCACTTGAGGGGTCAAAATGTTTCAATTGGAGATAAGCAGTAAATTTCACTCAACCCTGGTCGTACATAATATATAGATTATGTTTTTGAATATTGAATGCTGAAAAAAAAAACCAACATAAAAACTCTAAAGTGCATTTTGCACTGTGAAAGATAAGTAATCATTCATATTTGAATCAATTTTGTTTCTGAAACGGTTAAATGGAATTATACGATGGTTGAGTAAAAGATGTAGTCCAATCAGTGAATTCCATCCCAAATTATTATTGAATTTTATTTATTTATTTTACCTATGGATTTTTTAAAAATGATTAATGATGGACTGTTAGGCCATTATTATATATTATACTGAGTGGTCATTTGACATTAAATACTATGATAAATAGTTTCATGTCATTTAATTTTTTTATATTATTTTTAAGTTTATATTTTATTCATTTTTTTTTTTAATTTGAGTTCATAATTAAAATAATAAAATGCTGAAATTAGTTTAAAATATGATCGTAATTTAACATTTTCTATTTAATAACAATAAATTTTATCATTACTGCAGTATTATCATGATGGAAGATGAAATTGAATTTTTTTTTCAGTTGTTATTTAGAAATAAATATGAACGATTAGCTTACAGGACTGCTCGTAAAGTCATTGTTAGCTTTATTCCTGGATATAGAATCATAAGATTGCCTTTTGTTAGAGCTATAATGATTCCTAAATTACCAACAGTGAACAGTTTTATAGATAATATATTGGATTATATGATTTTAAAAGTTTCTTCATTTATTGTTACGGTATAGAATATTGTTTGTTTTACTTATTGCAATGCTGCAACAAATTCCAAAGCACCTTTATGCCTGCATCTTTATTTTACTTAATACTGTGCATAGCTGTTACTGATTGCAAATTTGCTTGATTGCTTAAATAAGTGCTTCTGAAATTATCAAATTTTTTACCAAGCTACCATATATTTTAATCTATGGTTAAGATTTTCCTATCCTCCCTCCAAAAAAAAAAATAAAAATAAAAAAAACATCTCTTATTAATAAGTTCTGTGGTGGGATCCCATATTTAGTATATAAGGTTGTAATAAGTTCAGTAGAACATTGATTATCTGAATGTCAATTTTCAAACTCGCTTCATGGATAAGAGATGAAATTAGTTTTTACATGAACTTCTGAGAACTAACTGCCTTATTATTTCATATAATTGCATTAGTATATGTACAATGTAGATCAGCTGTTTTTTTAATGTATTTTATTTATTTATTTTTTAATTTCTATAAATTCGGTACTAAAATCTTCTTAATATGAAATCATCATTATCCTTGTAATGAAGAGAACATGAATGAGTAGCTGCTTATGTTATAGAATTAGCTGCCATAAACAGCAAGTGAATTTAGAGCAGACAAGTTTCACAGTTGCGACACAGAAATAATCTCATTATAATTATAAATACATACATAAGCGGCACGACATCCCATCACCGAGACTGGGCCTCCTCCTAAAGTTTCTGCCAGTTTGTTCGTTCGGAATCCAACAAGGGCCCGCTCGTCCGCAGAAACCGATTCCATCTATCGCATGTTCGGTTATCCAACTCGCCGCTTCATGCAGAGCTCCTCGGTAAGGATTATTTTCAGATTCTCGTTGGCAGTCATCCTTTGCACATGTCCTGCCCTTCGAAGTCATTCATGAACTTGACTATGTCAACATCGTTGTGTAGTCTCGTTAGTTCGGCATTCCTCCTTCTTCTCCATACGTCATCCTATCTAACAAGGCCGAAAATCTGTCTAAGAATGTTCCTCTCGAAGGCAATAATCCTGGAATCATCTGCCTTCATGAACGCCCAGGCCAGGTGACAACTGGGCAGACCAGTGTCTTATAGAGCTTGATCTTGGTCCAATTAGAGAGCATTCTACTTCTAAAATGTTTGGCAAGGCCAAAGTAGCCAACGATTAGCTGCTGCAATCCTTCTGTTTACTTCCTGGGTAGTGTCATTTTGAGAGTTAATTTCTGAACCCAAATAGATGAAGCTGCTTATCTTCTGAAAACGGTACCCTCCTGTATCAAAATATCCAACTCCTAGTTTGGCTCCTCCAATCCGCATGTATTTCGTCTTGGCCTCATTAACAACTAGGCCAAGATTTCTTTCTCATGATTTGTGAGAAAGAGGTCAGAAAGATCTAAGCCCTCACGCACTATACTATTTGAACTCGCCATTGTCATCTTAACCAGCCTCACTAATTTCATCGGGACATTCATTTCTTTTAGGGCCTGCTAAAATTCCGGATTTGAGATTGACAAAGAGCTGGTGAGTTACGATTTTATACTCTTTGCATTTTTCTAACATCAATCTCAATGAAAATGTTTGGCCCATAGTTGAACTCTCTTCTTGTGGAGCGGGCAGATAATAAATACCCTTGTCCACTCCTCAGGCATTCTTTCTTCTTGCAAAATAGAAAGGATGAGATTGTGGAGATCCTTGCTGAAGTCAGATCCATTATACCGCAGAAACTTTGCTTGAATGCCATCCTGTCCTGATGCCTTATTATTCGTCAATTTTGCAATGACTGCCTCAACCTCTTCTTTATCACGTGGCTCCATGTCATCCTGCGTGTCCTCTTCTCTGCTGCTTAAGCAACTTCCTCCACACCTTCTTTTCGGAGTATCTTCTTGAAGTGAGAAGCTCATCGCTCCAAGATATTCTGTTAATCTGTTAGAAGACATTCTTGGACATTCGTCCATGCATGATTTCACTCTTGGTTTGAATGCGGTTTGTCCCTCATTCAACCGTTGAAAAAAGAGTCTACTCTGTTGTGAAGTTTTGAGGGATCGATATTTTCCATCCTATTGTTTTCCTACATTCTCTTTTTCTTCCAATGAATTCTCTTCTCCTCTCTCCTTCTATTGCCGCATCATTCCTGTGTACTCCTTGTATGCCGCTGCACCATCTTCCTATATGCCTCATTTTTCTTGTCAGTGGCGGTTAAGCATTCATTGTCAAATTAGAGAGACCTTCAGCTGCCGTCTTCAGAGCTCGGGATATTCCCTTCCACTGTTCATCAGGAGTATCATTTCTGATCCTCAATTCTTCCGCAAGCTATATTCTGAGATTCTCCTGATACGCTCCACACACATCCACATCCTTTAGCTTGGAGACGTTGAATTTTTTCTGAGTCGGTCCAACCTCGTTGCTCGTAGCTGAGAGCCTTGCACGTATCCTGACAATGCTAAGGTAATGGTCCTTATCTGCATTGGCTCCTCGGTAAGTTCTAACTCCAATAAGGTTAGATTTTTGTCAAGAACTTATAAGAATATGGTCAATCTGATTAGAGACGGCTCCATTTGATGATCTCCTCGTAATTTTGTGTATAAATACAGAGAAAAATTGTAAATACACAGTAGGACAGGAAGGATGACAGAGAGACATAGTTTCATTAATTTCTCTGAAATTAGATCTGGCTCATTGTCATTCGTTCTGGGTTTGAGGACAGAGGAGAATAG